GATAGGTGGCCTACCTCGCAGGCGCTACAGGCGGCCGAGCCCTCGCTCACAACTTGGACGTCCTCTTGCACTGAAAAACCAAACGTGGTCCAGACCGCACCAACTGGTGTGGTCAAATGGATGCCATTTTGACCGCATCAGTTGGTGTGGTCTAAACCACGTTTGGGGCGTTTGGTCTAGACCGCACCAAACGTGGCCAAACGTGGTCTAGACCACACCAACTGATGTGGTCAAAATGGCACACATCTGACCACACCAGTGGTGCGGTCTGGATCACATTTGGTTTTTCAGTGTGGCCTACTGTCCTTCTGAACGGACTGCTGCCCTTCTGAACATCCTGCTATCCTTCTGAACACCCTGCTATCCTACTGAACAGCCCGCTGTCCTTCTAAACATCGTGCTTGCCTTTTCGAACATCCTGCTTGTCCTTCTGAACATCCTGCTGTCCTTCGGGACGACCTCCATGTCCGCCCCCATGACGCCAGACGCCGCCATGCTCAGCAAGTTTCATTACTTGCATGAGGGAACGTATTTGCAGCCGCACACTTTGTAGAGGGGTCGAGCAGGCGGGCAGCGCGGCCCGGGTTTGAATTTTTCATAAGGCGCACGCGGTGGGAGTGGAGCGCGGATTTTGGTCTCGGTGCACGGGGTCACGGCAACGCAGGCGGACAAAAAGCCCCACTTTGCCCACTGGCAGTTTGTTTCTTGCCACATCGCCCACCCCTGCTACACTTCTCTGGATCCGCCCTTGCGCGGGGAACCACGGCGCTGGTGCTGGTCGCGTTGGCTTTTGCGACGGCCAACAACGTCGACGTCAACGTCAACGCTGCGCCCCAAGCCACTGCGCTGGCCGGCAGCGCGGCAGCCCCGATAACCAAAACAGCTGTGCCGCGCGTGCCGCCTCAGCACCACACTGGGAAGCCAGCCGGGGGCCTGTCCGAGGGCCGAGGACGGCGACGTGCGGCGTCGTCGTCGGGGTGTTGCTGTCGTTGGGGGCGCGCCGCCCACCGGCCCACCCATCTCCTGGGCGACGCCCCGCAGAGAACCGCGAGGGTTCTCACTCAGCCGAAGTGCCCCCTAGCATCGGAGGACTTTGCGGGACACGGGGGCACCGCGGGCACCGGGGGCACTGTCAAACCATACGGGGGGTGGGTGGGTGGGGGGTGGGGTGGTGGTGGTGGGGGGGGGGGGGGGGGGTTGTTCCTCTACACTTCCTGGTCCGACGTGTACACGCTCGGACGTGCGGAGTTTGCAGTCTCCACACTTTAATTGTGGAGTCCTTCTCTTTCCGCTCCTCGCCCGCCAAATTCAAATGCACCGCGACGTCCATGTTTCATTTCGTCGTTTCGGGTTACTGTCTTGTTTTCTTTTCCTGATTCCGCCTCTGAGGTTTTAAGCTGAATGTCGACGACGTTGACAGCCTGCATGAGCGGACCGGGCATTTTAAATAGGAAACTAGAAGCGTCATGTCGGGAGACAGACACCCGCAGATTTGTAAGTTTGTTCGTCGTCGTCTTTGTTGTTGTTGTTGTTGTCATCGTCGTCTTCTTTGTCTTCTTTGTCCTCTTTGTCTTCGTCGTCGTCTTCATCGTCGTCATCGTCGTCGTCGTCTTCATCGTCGTCGTCTTCGTCGTCGTCATTGTTGCCGCCAAAGTCACCCCATGTGCCTTTTGCTCCAAGCTTAGCTGGCCGTGGCCGTGGCAACTTCCGCTCGCATGTCTGTGCCATATTTTTCTTTGAGCCTGCTCCCCTCAGAGAAGTATCGCCTACACGTATTACTTGCTCGCCGCTCGCTGTTTATGGCACAAAACATTCCGTATAACGGCCGTCGTAGCGCGCTTCGTCCTCTTGTTCCCGGGTTGCGAGCAGGGCAGTGTGTGTGGCGGCGTGGGGGCGAGACCCGACAACGGACAGCAGACTGACTCCGAGAGTCGTTGTCGTCGTTCTGGACTCTCTCGCACTCCCGGGGCGTCGCTTGTAGGTGCGAGAGAGACAGAGCGACGAAAGCGACTCTGGGAATCAGTCTGCAGGGCAGCCATACGAACGACGCTGGGGCGATGGGGCTGCGCGGCAACGGGGCGGCGGTCTGGGAAGACGGCGCCGAAGGCACGTAGGCCTGCCTTGCCCTGCACACTGATTCCGAGAGTCGTTTTTCGTCGCTCTGTCTCTCTCGCACCCGTGGGGCGTTCCGCATGGGTGTGAGAGAGACAGAGCGACGAAAAACGGCTCTCGGAATCAGTCTGCCGCCTGCTTATGGCTCGACAGGTCGCGGACGCCGACGCTGCAGCCGACCTCCGGCAGAAGATCGACTCCAAACAGTGCCCTTCGCCGCTCTGTCTCTCTCACACCGTCTCGGAACGCCCCGTGAGTGCGAGAGAGACAGAGCGACGAGAGCACTTCGTTCGGAATCAGCCTGCAGCTGCTGGAAAAGCACGTTAAACGTTGCAGCGCCTTGCAGGCCTTGCATGATGGCGTGGAGGCAGCCAACAGCATTTAGCAGTGTGAGGCCAAGCCGACGGACGCAGCCTCGTTGATGTTCGAACAGGAAAGAGAGAGAGAGAGAGAGAGAGAGAGAGAGAGAGAGAGAGAGAGAGAGAGAGAGAGAGAGAGAGAGAGAGAGGAGGGGGGGGGAGGTGACGTGGGGGAGGGGAAAGGGGTATGTCCTAATCAGAACTTCGTCGAACGCTGCTTATCGGAAATCAGAGTAACAGACTGTCCCATTATTAGAACGCCTTATCAACGTCTATGTGCTTTTTATTCTTTATCGAATCGCCTGTGAGTACGTATGTGTGTGTGTGTGTGTGTGTGTGTGTGTGTGGGAGTGTGTCTGTGCGGGTGTCTGTATGCGTGTGTGACCGAGTGCGCGCGCTCGGCTATAGCTGCTCCATCGAATGGCACACATGACGCATTCTCTCCATGGTTGCCACAACGACCTTACGATTTATAAAAGGAACTAAACGATACACGGCGCGTTTAAAACAGGCGCGGCCTAGAAAGCCCCCGACAGAGGGGGCGATTGTGTATGTTTTACCTATCTGCAGAGGCATGCGATGGTGGTTGCCTATTATCAGGTGCTTAGGGAATCTCACAGGGAGGGGGGGGGGTTGCCTCTTCACCCCCTCCCCTTTAAACCGCGCGTGGTTTTTAAAACAGGCGACTCGAGGGGCAGATGGCTGAGGGAGTGAGGGGACGGACAAGGCGTGGATCTAGGACTTTCCCGAATGCTTTTTGCCCACTTACAGCGGCAAAGCAATGATTTTCGCCTACCCTCCACGTGGCTTTCCTAGTAGGTACACTGGTAAAACTAAAGCGTAGTTGTACGCTTCATTCAAGCGTACAACTACGCTTCAAGACTGTACGCCCTTCTTGAAGCGTACAACTACGCTTCAAGGCAATCCCCCCATGCATTTAGATAGGAAGAAAGGAGCGCATGAACTCTTGTACGCTTGAAGAAGGGCGTACTGGCTGTACGCTTCACGAAGGGCGTAATAGTACGCCTTAGTTTTAACAGTGTACCCAGGGCGGGTAATCACTAATCACCCCCACTTCCCCCTCCTAGATCCGCCCCTGAGCTGGAGGGGGGCGTGGGGAGTGACGTCCCACGTGGCGTGGCCCGCTTATCCCACAGGAGATAAGGCGATGGCAGCGGCAGGTAGGGCCCTGCCGGCACACTGTGCACTCGATACTCGATGCGATTAGACACGCGGCGAGCCCGCGGGGCGGGGCTGGACAGGTGGTGCAGCTCGTGGACATCGGTGCAGATGCAATGCCACGCAGTGCACATGCAGGGCAGATGCAGACCCACACTGTCAAACCAAATGCGGACAACTCGATCGATCCCTCACACTGGTAAAACTAAAGCGTATCTCTATGCCTGAGCCAAGCATAAAGTTACGCTTGAAGACGTTACGCTTGAAATGAAGCATACTTGGGAAATTCCCCCATGCATTTAGATAGGGAGAATCTTGGCCGATGAGCCTGTTACGCTTGATTTCAAGCATACACTGATTACGCTTGAAAACGATGGGTAATACTACGCTTCAGTTTTACCCGGTTTTACCAGTGCACTTCCTGATGCTGAGATATTCTTCCGAATTCCCCAACCACAATTGGATATGTGGAGTTTGCTGTCTCCACCCTCCAATTGTGGAGTAGCTCACAGAACCCCTATCGCTTCCCTTATAAAAATTATTTGCTCCGAGATCCGTCCGAGCGGGGTTCCAGCCCGAAAGAGGTCCGTCGGGCTAGTCCGACGAAGCTCCAGAATGTTCCCAAATCGGCAACTTTACGGATGTGTCCGAGAACCGAAATGCGGGCTGGTTTCGGACTGTCCGAGTCTCGGTTCCGAAAAAAATCCGACGGCGGTAAGCCAGAGGCTAGCCGTATTCGAACCCTCGCTTCCTACCTTCCTCTCTTTCTTTGCACACCAGTGCTGACGTCGGAGCCAACTGAGCTAACCCGACAGATGAGGACTGAGGCCTCCAGCCAGCCTCTTCACCGACTCTGCGCTGCGCTCTCCGCTCCGCTCCTTCCTCTGGGCGCTGGGAGGCGCGATTTTCAAGATAGAAGAGTGGGGATTTCTCAAGGGGACCTCGAATTTAAAATATTTTACGTTCAACACGTTTTCTTATGCATACCTGTATTTAAAGTTTCATGTTTCTCCGGTTGTACGAAACAATTTAAATTAATTGACTGAATGCATTCTTGCTATTTAAACCACGGCATTTGTTTCGGCACATACTCAGTAACGACAAAAAATTGCTGTATTTCCAATAAGTTTTTTATTCTAAATTTCCTTACGAAAGGCGAATGTTTGAGATTGAACATTGCTGAATCACTTCGACACACCTCAACTGTAGCTCCGCTAGAGGAACATTTGTCTAAGTCCCAAAGCGAGGGGGAAACGGTACAGAGTTCCGAAAACAGTCCGGAGGGGAGACTTTCCTCGGACGTATTCCGGGTAAGTCCGCTGCTCCGGACTCCCGGCGGACCGACCCGGACTTTCCAGGGAGTCCCGGGCACATATCGGTCTGGCCCGTCCGAACAGCGGTTCCTTCGCGGACTAACTACGGAATCACCCGAAGGCATTCGGACGCTTCTGGGGACAGCCCGAGGTGGCGGGGGCTCTTTCGGACGGCTGGCGGCAAGATTTCGGAACAATTCGTTTTTACACGGGTTATTCGTACGGTGCAAACGTGGAAGACTCCACACTTGCACTGTGGAAACTGCAAGCACTGCACATCCAAGCGAGAAGACTGAAAATTCCACACCTCCGCCTTTAAGGTGCACGGTTTAACAGTGCGCCATAGCCACTTCAATCTGTGCGCCATTCGCGCTCCTCTCTGTCCAAAGACATGCACAACCCTCGCATGCTTGTATGGGTGACGTTCCGTCCGGGTGCGAGAGAGAGACAGAGCGAGGAGGATCCGTCATTCGGAAGCACAGGACCGTGCAGCGTTCAGCCTGAAAATGGTGATCTTGCCCATAGAGATACTCTGGCCGGCAGCAAGAGTATTTCATTGCCACAATGGATATTCGCTGAGCTCAAGAGTATTTGGTGCTAGTGACTCTAACGACAAGAACCCACTTTTCAGGGTGTTGTGTCGGGCGGGACATCGTGTATTGCTGGCAAAGCAAACTGATTCCGAGAGTCGTCTTCGTCGCTCTGTCCCTCTCGCATCCATACGGGACGGCCCATGAGTGCGAGAGAGACAGAGCGACGAAAACGACTCTCGGAATCAGTCTGCAGAGCATGCCGGCATGGCACCCGCGCGTGCCGCCCGCGTGGAGCACATAAGGCATGCATCAAGGCTCATCAAAACAGCCGCCTCGCTCCGGTCCAGGCCGCTTCAGGCCGTATGTAAGCGGACGTCGCGGTGCCTCCCAGCAGCCCAATTCCGAGAGCCTGTCTCTCTCGCACTCATGGGGCGTCCCGTTTAGGTGCGAGCCTGGCCGCGGCGAGGTGGCCGCCTCCACCGTTCTTCTGGCCCACTGTGCGGCCTGCCGGCCAGACGGACGGCACGGCGATCTATTCTGGACTGAATCACCGCCGTGATGCAGCACGCCCCGTGTTGTTACAGTGTTGTGCCTCGTTCGGCCCGCCGGCACGCGCACGCGTCGGCGGCCGTCTGGCTTCGAAGCAAGGTCTCGTCCGAGGGGCTAACCACTCGCGTAATACCCTGTACACAAAAAACGTGTAATACGCGTAATACACGTGATCGTAATACCATTTTTGGGTCAAATGTGCCAAATTTGGGCATTTTAGGGCCGTAATACACGTGTAATACACCCGTAATACAGCGTAATACCGAGTAGTCTGTACACGATTTCTTGAAGTGTTTACCCCCTCGGTCTCGTCGCTCTGTCTCTGTCGCGCCACTGCGGGACACCCCATGAGTGCGAGAGGGACCGAGCGACGAAATGAGTCTTTCGGAACCAGGTGGCGGCAGACTGATTCCGAGAGTCGTTTTCGTCGCTCTGTCTCTCTCGCACTCACACGGGAGGTTCTATTAGTGCGAGAGAGACGGAGGGACGAAAACGACTCTCGGAATGAGCCTGCAGTTCAGACTCAGCCGATCACTGGCTCGATAGGCCGGACCGCCGTCGCGCATGATCGTTTGTCGAGCCATCGCGGTCCGTCCTTGCGACATGTTGGCAACGGCGACGAGGCACGGACGTCCGCTCGCACTGTGCACTGCACTGTGCGCACTCTGCATTTGCAGTGGCGGCAACCTTGAGAGGAAAGGGGCAGTAGGGGCAGTCGGCCAGACGCATACACACAGACAGACAGACAGACAGACAGACAGACAGACAGACAGACAGACAGACAGACAGACAGACGGACAGACAGACAGACAGACAGACAGACAGACGGACAGACAGACAGACGGACAGACGGACAGACAGACGGACAGACAGACGGACAGACAGACGGACGGACGGACGGACAGACAGACAGACAGACAGACAGGCAGACAGACGGACAGACAGACAGACGGACAGACAGACAGACAGACGGACAGACAGACAGACGGACAGACAGACAGACAGACAGACAGACAGACAGACAGACAGACAGACAGACGGACGGACGGACGGACGGACGGACATACCGATGGACAGACGGCGAGGGGGGAACAGCTTCCCACATTCGTTGTACAAAATTTGACCACATTCCACATTCAGGTGGCAAAAACGCCTGTAAGTAGGCAACATGTGTGGCAAAAACGCCAGAAATCTTGCACATTCTTGCACATTCACACAATCATTGTACACCAAATTTTACAGTGGGTCACCCCTCGACAGACGGACAGACAGACAGACAGACAGACGGACGGACGGACGGACAGACGGACGGACGGACGGACAGACAGACAGACAGACAGACAGACAGACAGACAGACGGACGAACGGAGTGCGTTGGCAGGGACACGGCTTGCTTCGCCTTGCGCTGCGTGGCGTCACGCTCAGGGGAAAGTGAGCGAATTGATAAGAGCGCGTGACGCCACTGTAGTGGGGGGAGTGCCAATGCCTCACGGTGCCTCACGCCTCGGCGCTCACTGCGCCCGTCGGCAGTGGCGGATCCAGAGGTGGCCTTCTGAAAGGGTGTGCGTGGCAATTTTTGCCAATATTTATGCCCCTTTCTTTCCGGCGATTTTCTACATTGTCATTCGGGGGTGCCTTGAAAGTTAGCGCCCGTCAGTCCATGCCTTAGTTTTGTTGCGCCTTTTGTTGGCGCCTCACCAGGAGGCGCCTATAGCACTGGTAAAGACATTTAGAACACAGTAGTGTGGGAGTCATGTCCACACCACAAGTGCCGAGTGGGTAACCCCCGGCTCATTTGACGTGAGCAGACGTCAGCCTGCGTGTACGAAGAGGTCAACAAAACTATGGGGTGGGGCCGGCCAGTCATGCGGACCCGTCGCAGTCAACGTGTTAATCAGGCGCAAATCTGCCCCGCCTGCCATTTCAAACAGTGAGTTTTGATTCGGTGATGACAGCGAGTGCGTGGCGTCGTTGACAGACAGCTCACGAGCTGCCTCAAAACAATGTAGGCCCCGTGACCCACTCGGTGACCTGGAGTGTCGACCAGCGGGGCGCCAGTTACGGTGGACGCGTCACCATGCTGAGAGCTCTGTTGCTGCTGGTGCTGCTGTGGAGCGGCCCCCCGGGCCACCGCCACGGCCGCCACGAGGCGTCCGCCGCCAAGAAGTGGATCAACTCCTTCGCGGTGAGGTGCCGCCGAAAGACGCCCCACAGTGGGCCAGACGGCCGGTGGAGGCGGACAAACTTCGAGACGCGTTTTGAGCTCCAGAGTCGCTACATAGGACTCGGACCGAACGTGTGATCCCACCAATGGATTGCTCTCCGAACGAGGAATCCATTGGTGGGGTCGCACATTAGGTTCGAGTCCTGTTTAGCGACTCTGGAGCTCAAAACGCGTCCGAGATTTTGACCGCTCCGCCAGTTTTCTGGCCCACTGTGTGCGGGCGACACAAGAGAGAAACCGAGTGTGGAGGACTCCACACTTGAAATGGGAGGAGGGTGTGGACCCTACAGGTGCAGTCTGCTCTGCACACTTCCAGTGTGGAGGGCTACTCCGCAAGGAAGTGAAAAATTGTGCAACTTGACAGTGTGCTGGCAGGGCCCATTCATCGCCGTGATGGGTCCGTTCACGGACTGCCCCAACCCCCCGCCCGATGAACAGGTGAAGCTGCGCCTCATGGTGTCCCAGTACCGCAACCGCCAGATTGAATCGCAGACCCAGCTGCAGAGGGTGACGGGCAACGTCACCGTCAACGTGACCCTCGCCAGCAAGGGCTGGGTAAGGACCGCAGAGCCTCGTCGCACAGTGGGCCAGGAGACCGGCGCAGGCGGCCGAAACTGTAGACGCGTTTTGAGCTCCAGAGTCGCTAAACAGGCCTCGAACCGCACGTGTGACCCCACCAATGGATTGCTCTCCGAACGACGAATCCATTGATGGGGTCACACGATCGGTTCGAGCCCTGTTTCGCGACTCTGGAGCTCAAAACGCGTCTACAGTTTCGGCCGCCTGCGCCGCTCTTCGCATGAAAACGACTCGTCTAGTGTGTTGTCCTCTGGCCCGCAGATGTACATGAAGGCGGCGTCCCGGAGCAACAACCAGTGGAAGGACAACGCCCACGTGTTCAAGTTCGGCAACGGCATCTGCAAGGGGTTAGCGGAGAACCTGCCGGACTTCCTGCGGCAGATCTACAAGGTGGAGCCGGACAGCGTGCGCCACTCGCCCTGCGTCATCCCGCCGGTAACTTCACCGCGCCTCCCCCACGCACAGTGGTCCAGAAGACCGGTGGAGGCGGCCAAAACTCGAGACGCGTTTTGAGCTCCAGAGTCGCTAAACAGGCATCGAACCGAACGTGTGACTCCATCAATGGATTCCTCGTTCGGAGAGCAATCCATTGGTGAGGTCACACGTTCGGTTCGAGTCCCAGTTAGCGACTCTGGGGCTCAAAACGCGTCTAGAGTTTCGGCCACCTCCACTGATCTCCTGGACCACTGTGCCACGCCACAGAGCACACCACTGTGAAACCAAACTCGGAATGCGGAAGGGTGGAATTTTCAGTCTCCCTCCGCACTTGGAAGTGCAGAGTTTGCAGTCCCCGCACTTGAATGGAGCTCTCCACGTTCGCACCACGCCAAGAGACAGGGGCTCTGTGAGCTAACTCCACACTAGCAGTGTGGAGACTGCAAACTCCACTCGTCCGAGTGAAACTTCACACCAGGAAGTGTGGAGTTCTTCACACTTGGTTTCACACACAGTGCGTCTCCAGGCTTTAGCGGATTACTCAGACTCCCCTGCCCTGTGGGCCAGAAAACCTGGACGCGTTTTGAGCTCCAGAGTCGCTAAACAGGACTCGAACCGACCGTGTGACCCCACACCAACGGAGAGCAATCCATTGGGGGGTCACATGTTCGGTTCGAGTCCCATTTAGCGACTCTGGAGCTCAAAATCCGTCCGGGATTTTGGCAGCCTCCACCGGTCTTCTTCTGGCCCACTGCTGGCTTGATTCCCAGGGAGTCTACACGGTGGACGACACCCCCGTCAACTTCACCGTTCCCAAGCTACCCATCTTCCAGTACGGCACCTGGCGCACCGAGGTCGGCTTCATGTTGGGCACGGAGGCCAAGCCGAGGAAGGTCATGTGCATGATGACGGACATCTACACCGTGCCCAAACTGTGGCGCAGTCTCTTCTCCGCACCGCCAAGCGAGACAGGGGCTCTGTGAGCCACTTCAGAGAGAGAGAGAGAGAGAGAGAGAGAGAGAGAGAGAGAGAGAGAGAGAGAGAGAGAGAGAGAGAGAGAGAGAGAGAGAGGAGGGGGTGGGGCGCCGCGGCAAGCAATCGGCAAGCTTGACCTCACCACTGTGTTGCGGGGCGAGACCTCCGCGAAGCGCGATAATCCGTCGGGCTTCTACGCCCCCCTTCCCCACTTAAGATAGAAGTTCCTTTCTTTTCTTTGGGGGCCATTGCAGCGGTGATCGCTTACATGACGAAATGTTACTGAAATTGCACCTTTCACTCTTTCAGTCAGTCAACGCCAAACTGAAAAAAGGCCTCCACTCTCCTGTTATAGTTATTGCCTCAAAGTTTTCTGAGTCCACAAAGAAATGCGGTTAGCTTCTGTCGGTTTGGGAGTGCACTCGTGTAAATCTTGTCAGCAGAGTGTCAGAAACCTGTAAACTTGATCAAAATTCGCGCACCTCTTGCTGATATTATTCCCTGGCATTCTGTCTAGAACTCAAACCATCAATACCAGAGTGAGTTTTCAGAATTTCAGCCCGGGTGGAAGGATCTGTAGTGAAACTGCAGTTTAAACTATAGTGGCAAAACTACAGTTCCTGAACTGCAGTTTTTGGTAAGAACAAAGTGCAGAATAAGTCCAGTTTCAGTTTGCTTATGGATCTGTAGTTTGCTGTGTATGCAAACTGCTTTCTAACTGAACTGCTATTTATTAACCAGGTATTAAGTACTATCTGTAGTTAAAAAGTGAAGTTAAAAGTTTTTTAATACTACTCTACTTTAATAGTCCACTACTGAAGATCTGCCTACACTTATATCTGCAGCAGGATCTACAAAGGAAATAAAGTTTCTGCTCATACCTTTTTACACAATGACAAACTAGTTGAATGTTTACTACAATTTGTAGTAATTTTTCGATTAAGGCATAGTTTAAGATGTCAAGCACTGCAACTTGAAATGAAGAAACAAAAACAATTACATTGAGTGATTAAAATAATATAAGGATTGAAAAGGAAATATCTCTTAGAAGTTTCAGTTATTTCTTTTAAAGGTTTACGTTGAAATACTTGACGTTGCAGACTTTTAGAAGACACGACTAAACTTTCATATGGCTGGATGTAACCAATTCTTAAAATACTATCTGGTTATCTGTTTGCTTATTTTATAATGTTCCGTATTGGTCAGGTAGCATGTGACAAAGTATCGTGGAAATCAACAAGCCACAAAATTTAGCCAGCTTGTCGCCAAACAAGGTCAAACTAAGTGGCATCAAATTCATTATGACTGGATGATAAAATGTCAGACAAATAAAACTAGAAAGCATTATAGGACAGTGCGTCTCAGAAGTTAAAAAGGGAACGACTCCAGTCGTTGAAAATTAAGACCTTGAAGGCTCTCTGAATTAAATCACTCCATGGTGTCTTGGTTTCTGAGACAAATTCATTATAAATTACATTTAGGACAAGTGAATTTCACTCCTAGTACAGAGTGGCTTACAGTTAAACTGTAGTTTTCTAGCAGTTAAATTCTAGTTCCTGAGGAAAGCCGGCCTTTCCATGTGGTCGAGTAGCCAAGCCCCTACCCACAAGGAAGCTCAGTGGAGCAGTGGTCAAGGCCTCTGCTTCACAAGTCATGGGTCCGAGGTTCAACTCCCGGCAACATCCAATCACAAAACACAATTAACACAAAGTCAACCACCTAAGGGGTCAGAGGGAGGAAAAGTACCCTCAAATCAGGGTTCAAAAATTAAAAATTTTGAATTTTGAACCAAAATTTCAAACTGCAGATTGTCTTCTCCTTTGAACTAACTCTGGCTGTGTAACTAAACTACAGTATAACTGTACTTTGAACTATAGTTAACTGATCTGAAGACTAGGACAACCTGGGTCAAAAACTATAGTTGTCCGAAATAACTGGTACTTTTTTTGCAGTTTAATTGTAGTTTACTACACTTCAACTGTAGTTGAACTACACTTTACCTACAATTATACAATACATTAAAGTAATTTAAAGTATGAAAAAAAGTATTTGAAAATTAAGTTTAACATTACAAAAAATCTATATTTTTTCAATGTAGTTTAAACTGCAGATCCTTCCACCCGGGAGCTTTTAGAGGTGAGCATATTTTGCTCAGGATTTCAGACATGTTTCTGGCATTCTGACTCTGACAACATTTCCACGAGTGTAACGCAATTTAGAATGTTACTGGATTTGGGTCAACTCGAACGGTTGAAAAGGTGATGCACGACACTGCCCGCTAAAAACGTGGTTGAATTGCGTTCAAACCATTCGTCTCGTGTCTCGTCCTCAAACCACCAAAACAAAATATTTCAGAACATTCAGCTAAACTATGCGACACAGTCCATTTGAAAAAAAAAAAAAAAAACTCAGTTTGAGTTGATGTAAGTTGAATCGTGGTTGAATTAAAAACGCACTATAGGCCCACAGTCATAGACCCTGAGTCAACACTGCAAGAAAAAGTGTAGATAGTACAACAAAAGTACAACAGAAACTGTACAATAAAAGTACAACAGGGATTGTAGAAAGTACACCCTCAGATTCTTATGATAGGGCCATCGTAACATACGTTGAAATGAGAACATACGTACTACAATCAAATTCATGCGTAATACGATCAAATTCATGCGTAATACGATGATATACATGCGTAATACGCTGAAATTCATGCGTAATACGATGAAAAATTATGCATATTACGTATGTGCAAATTTATGCGTACCTTACGATGAAAAGCCATCGTAATACGCATAAAAACGAGCATAAGAAGTTGAGTGTGTACAACGAGAATTGTACAAACCACAACGAGCCCTGGACTGCGCAGCACTCCTCATGCCGGTTCCATTGTACTTTGTACAACAATTGTTGTACTTGAGAAGTACACTAAATTCCTGATAAAAAAAATTGCCAGAAATTTGTGTACTTTTGTTGTGGTTATTTCCTGCAGTGTAACTTGCGGAGGAGGCCTAAGAATTTCCGTTGATTTCACTGAAACAGCGAAACGCGAGGTCTTGGCGGGCGTGGCGGCGTTGCGGGGCCGGCGGAAACGGCCTTGACGGCGACCTCGGCGACCTTGCCCGGGTCAGTGACTGCACTGCACCACGTGGGCAGGCCTACCGCGCGATGCGCCAAGCACACTGCGAGTGGGGAAAAAGAATGAGAGATTCTGTTCTTGTTTTCCATTTTAATTGAGTGTGAGTGTAACAAAGCTAGGGGCAGAGGGGCGAGGACGGAGATCTTTTTTTTTTTTTTGCAGTCTGGATGCCACGGTCACGACCACAGACCACGAAGGCCTCTCCTTAGCCTGCCAGCCAGCTTGTCTGTCTGTCTGCCCGTCTGCCCGTCTGTACGAATGTCCGTCTGTCTGTGCGTCTGCCTGCCCGCCTACCTGTCTGCTTGCCAGCCGGCCTGCAACTGGATTAGACAAGACGCGTTTGGCGGCGGCGTCTGGTTTCACTGCATCCTTAACATCTCATCTCCCTGCCTTGCCTGCACTGTGAACAATCAAGTGCACTCGTGTAAATTTTATCAGAACGTCAGAAACATGTCTGAAATCCTGATCAAACTTCGCGCACCTCTGAGAGCTGAAATTCTGAAAACTTACTCTGATATTGACGGTTTGAGTTACCGTCAGGAAATGTTTTCAGCTTTCAGAGGTGCGCGAATTTCGATGAGGTTTTCAGACAGGTTTCTGACATTCTGAGAAGAGCTACACGAGTATTAGGAGAACTCAACACTTCCTGGTGCGGAGTAATTCTCCACACACTTGGACGTGTGGAGTTTGCAGTCTCCACACGTGAATTGTGGAGTAGAACACAGAGCTCCGTGCTCTTGGCATGTTCACTGGTAAAACTAAAGCGTAGTATTACCCTCTGTTTTCAAGCGTAATCTGGTTACGCTTGAAATCAAGCGTTACAGGCTCATCTGCCAAGATTCCCCCTATCTAAATGCATGGGGGAATTTCTAGTCTAGGCTTGATTTCAAGTGTAACGTCTTCAAGCGTAACTTTATGCTTGACTCAAGCATAGAGTTACGCTTTAGTTTCACCAGTGTTTGGCATGGCGCAAACGTGGCGAACTCCACTCTTCGAGGGGTCCTTTTCGGAAGATCTTGTCTGGGCGCTCCTGTTCAAAGAATCTTGTCTGCGACGCAAGCGAATTTCACAAAGTTTGATCATTTGAGACAGCTACAAATCAAAATAATTTGTGATTTTAGTCCTACAAACGTGGAGATCAAAGATCAAAGAAACCAATGGGGCGTGTAAAAATATGTTCCGCTTACCCTCTTATCCGTCCCAAATGGTCGAACTTCGTGAAATTCGCTTGCGTTGCAGATAAGATTCTTTGAACAGGAGCGCCCAGATAAGATCTTTTGAATAAGACCCCTCGACTTGAAGTGTGGAGACTGCAAACTGCACTTCCAAGTGCGGAGACAGCAAATTCTGTGCCTCAGCATTCTAAGCGTGGAGCGTGGAGTTCTCTACACTTTGTTTAAACTTTACCTTCTTGCGTGCTCTCCCGCTGTATCGCAGTGTGCCTAATACTCCGAACGCGTCACAGTGCTATTCTCAGCAGCGATTACGCCTTTCATTAATCTCAAGTTGCCAGTGCAGGAGTCGCACCGAACTTGATTGCGGATGCTCTTATCTGCAAACATGTCATCGAGCACCGACGCGAATCGGAACCGTTTTGTCGGCAATTGAAATTAGTTTTGAACTGCATCCATCGCTCATTTGTACGACCACCCATAATTTACTTGGGCAGTCCGATGGGGCAACGAATGCTGGCAGTTCAATAAGTCAAACAGACGGAAACGCCGTCGTAATGTTAGAACATTTAGAGTGTAACGCAGGATGGATGTACTGTTCAGATCATTCTTTGGCTCATGACTTGCACCGTCTTCACGAATATGAAGTTGACGTCAAATTCGTTGGAGTGCGAATTGAGTCACGTTCGTTTGATATGCCACAGGCATTCGAATGTCGATCCACAATCAAACGAACGTGACATCCTCATTAGAAGTAAACACGAATTTGACATAAAATTCAAAACAGTGACACAATTCACGTTCTAACGAACGCGAACGAAATTGACGTCACATTCGTAGGAGAAGCAGGCGCGAGATATTTTCCACAACTGTGGCGATGGAAACCGCGGTGCATGTGAATACCTCGACGACAGGGACGAGACCGACACCTGCATCAAGACGAACTACTCTCAGCTTTTCTGGTGCACAGTGCGAACTGGGGCACTATACAGTGGGCCGGAAAACCGGTGGAGGCGGCCACAGTTCTGGACATGTTTTGAGCTCCAGAGTCGCTAAATGGGACTCGAACCAAACGTGTGACCCCACCAATGGATTGCTCTCCGTGCGAGGAACCCATTGGTGGGGTCACACGTTCGGTTCGAGTCCTGTTTAGCCACCCGGAGCTCAAAACGCATCTAGAGTTTTTGCCGCCTCCACCGGTCTTCTGGCCCACTGTGCGCCGCGCACCGCCTTCCCAGTGGCGTGGAGCACTCACCGACCAGCCCCAGGTCTATGATGGGGATCTCAGCGCGAGATAGCAGGGTGTCCATGGCTCCTGAAACAGGCAAGGCAAATGTTAGCTCTCTGACGTCGCAGCGTCGCGGCGTGGCAACGCGTCACACGGTAGCACCGCGACGGTTGCGATAGTGCGCTGCTAAAACGTACTACGCTCAAGCGTAGTTCTCCGTCCCGCACAGTGGGCCAGAAGACCGGTGGAGGCGGCCGAAACTCTAGACGCGTTTTGAGCTCCAGAGTCGCTAAATGGGACTCGAACCGAACGTGTGACCTCACCAATGGATTGCTCTCCGAACGAGGCATCCATTGATGGGGTCACACGTTCGGTTCGAGGCCTGTTTAGCGACTCTGGAGCTCAAAACGCGTCTAGAGTTTTGGCCGCATCCACCGGTCTTCTGGACTACTGTGTCCCGCCCCTCTCCCGGCTATCCAAAAGAATGGCAGAATTTCTTCTCTACGCTTCACTTCAAACGTAAAGTCTTCAAGCGTACGGAAGTCATTGTACACAAAATCTTACAATGGGTCACGCACTCAGCCAGTGTAGGGTTGGAATCACCGCCTTCCGACTCTCAGGCGCGGATACGGGGAGGGGGGGATGGGGTTTTGCCCCCCCCCCCCCCATAGCCCGTAGATAGCCGCCTGGAAGGTAGGCAAAAAGTGCTACTTTGCCCCTGTAAGTAGGCAAAAAGTGCAGGCCGACTTAGAGTGCGGACGCAGCCGAGGCGGCCGGCTGCGCTGACCCTTCCGGCCTTTCCGGCGGCGCTTACATTGTACCGCCTTCTACAGTGGAGGGGCCGTGTGCCATTTGAATGGACGGCCTGCAGATAGTAAGTACGGCACTGCTGGCCGCGTTCCAATCGGGACTCCTCGGGTCCGTCTCATTAATGTTTCCCCTCCCCTCCCCTCCCCGCCGTTCTCCGAGACCTTCAGACTTCACGCGGCGGGCGCCTGCCGCCACTACTTGGAGACCAATTCGCGGATTGGCCGATCTGCAGGCCGATTCCGAGAGTCGTTTTCGTCGCTCTGTCTCTCCCGCACCTTGTACGGGACGCGCTGTGAGTGCGAGAGAGACAGAGCGACGAAAACGACTCTCGGAATCAGTCTGCTGGCGGCCCGCCGCGGCGCCTTTCGCGTCCGCGCGACCGAAACGCGTCCCTCGAGTCCCGTCCTGCCCCTCCCCTCCTCTTCTCCCTCCCCTCCCCTCGTCGAGCCGCCTATGACGTCGCGCGCCGCTCGTCGGGGAAGACCGCGGGCCTTTTGGCGCGTGCGCCGAGACAGCGTAAAAGCGACGCGCGTCGCGCGCCGACTTGAGGGACTTCCCCGCGAGTCGAGACGCTCTGAGAGAGTCGTCGCTCTGTCTCCCTCGCACCTGTGCGGGATGTCTGTGGAGTGCGAGAGAGACGGAGCGACTGGCGGGAAGTGTCTGCTGGACAGAGGAGCGGGCGGTCCGCCCGAAACCAACAAACGGCCAACGCTTGACGTCAAGCAGCGGGGATATCCTCATTTCGGGGTCTCGGCCGGGGATGTCCGTTCAGGACGCCGGGGAAACGCGTCTGCTGCGGGCTGCTGGCTGACTCGTGTTCATTGTCCTGCCGGTGGCGCGGCGGGGTGTGGTGGGGCGGGGCGGGGCGGGCGGGGTGGGGCGGGGCGGGGCGTGCAGCATCGCGGGGGAAAGCGAGCCGAGCAGACGCGCCATCATCGGACGCAAGATCCCCCAGCCACAGCCAACGTAAAACCAAGTGTGGAGACTCGTGTAGAGAACTCGAGAGAGAACTCCACATGAAATGCGGAGTTGTGGAATTTGCAGTCTCATCCACACTTCAAGAGTGGAGTTCTCCACGTTTTCGTCATACCAAGAGATGGGGTTCTGTGAGCTAGTACTCCACACCTTGGAAGTGTGCACACTGCAAACTCCACACGTCCAAGTGTGGCGGATTCACCCCGCACCCGCACCAGGGAAGTGTGGAGTTCTCCACACTACTCGGTTTGACAGTGCACCCGCGTCAAACTCCCGTGACTGCACCGCAGCTGCCACCGCCGCGTCACTGGGGCGTCACAGACGCGCGGTATGACTTGGCGTATGACTTTGGCGCGCCGCTCGCACAGTGTACAGCACCCCTTCAAACTTCAAACACAGGTGTGCCCCGGCCCTGCCCCGGCCCGGCCCGATAGGCCGAGTGCCACCGCCCCCCTCCCCCTCGACCACCACACCGGGCAAGCGCGCCATCTTAGAATTTCAGACGAGCCCCATTTGGCGCGAACACGATTTGCGCGCAGTGTTGCCACGCCACTGGGCGAAGGGATTCCCTGCGCGGTGCGGTAGTGTCCGAAGGATTCCCTCCCGCTGCCAACAGCAGTCCGTCATTTCCGCCACGCGCTGACACTCTTCGTTCGACCAGGGGAAAATTGTTACTTTCTGTGCGGAACGGACTGGTGAAAGAAGAGAGGACAGCGAACCCTGTATACCTAGAACTGCGTTCCCCTCCCTGTGCTCCCCTTCGTCAAGCCAACTCTGGGTCCGCCACTGCTCGCGAGGGTGGCGCAGCGTCGTCGCCCGCCCGCGTCACCTTCGCCCATTTCATTTCAGCCGCCGCTTGGGACTTCCCTCGGCTTTCCCTGCCACCACGCGGCGAGGGGAGGGGAGGGGAGGGGAGGGGGAAGAGAAGGGGAGGGGGAGGGGGTGTTCTGATTATGACGGCGCACGCCGACTCGCGGACGCGGTGCTCGAAGGCCCCGGTGACGTCACCGACGTCACAAGGCCGCGTGTCGCGGCGTGCCGCCCGCCTTCAGATGCACCGTCACGACGCCGCACAGTGGGCCAGAAGACCGGTGGAGGCGGCCAAAATCCCGGACACGTTTTGAGCTTCAGAGTCACTAAATGGGGCTCGAACCGAACGTGTGACCCCACCAATGGATTGCTCTCTGAACGAGGAATCCATTGGTGGGTCACACGTTCGGTTCGAGTCCCATTTAGCGACTCTGGAGCTCAAAACGCGTCTAGAATTTTGGCCGCCTCCACCGGTCTTCTGGCCCACTGTGCGCCGCACTCCTTGGCGTCGCACGCGCCACGGCTCGAACGGCGGTGAGGCAAGGCGTCGTATTTCACAGTGGCGGCGCCACTATCAAAGGCATGACGGCCGCCATCGACTAGAGGGCGGCCGGTTTCCACTGCAGGCACCCTGCGCGAGGCTACTCTCTGGAACCCAGCGTGGAGAACTCCAGGCTTCCTGGTGCGGATGAGTCCTCCACACTGACTGGGACGAGTAAAGTTCGCAGTCTCCACGCTCTTCAAGTGTGGCGAGTAAGCTCACAGAGCCCCGGTCTCTTGGCACGGTGCAGACGTGGAGAACTCTACACCCTAAGTGCGGAGACTGCAAACGCTGCACTTCCAACTGCAGAGACTTCCTGGTGCGGAGTGATTCTCCACACTGTAAGTCGTGTGGAGTTTGCAGTGTCCACACTTAAAGTGAGGAGTTCTCTTGGGAGTTCTCCACCTTTGCCCCATATGCCGAGAGATAGGGGCTCGAGCTCCTCCCCTTGGAGCGTGGAGACTCTAAACTCTGCACTTCCAAGTGCGGAGACTGCAAATTCCACACCTCCGCATTTCAAGTGCGAAGTTCCCCACACTTGGTTTGAAGGTACATAGTCTCGCCGGTCTCGGCTGCCGCGATCGCATGGCACGCCGCGAGAAGTTCCGTCCCGCAGCGCGCCAAAGCGGGCTAGGAACGGGAATTCGGACGGTGTGTGGGTACACTGGTACAGCTTGCGGTGCGGGCAGGTGCTGCTGCTGGAGTTCCCTTCCTCGGAAGTGCCGGCCACCGCCGCGGGGAGCGGCACCACCGCCGCCGGAAGAGACTCATTCCGAGAGTCGTCGCTCCGTCTCTCTCGCACTCATGCGGCGTCCCCTTAAGGTGCGAGAGAGACAGAGCGAAGAAGACGACTCTCGGAATGAGTCCGGCCGCGCTTCGCCGCCCACCTCCGCGTGCCGCGCCGTGCCCCGCCCAGTCCCCGACCTCTGGCACCGCGGCGCGCGTTGGGCAGTGCAGGAGCGGCGCGCCCGCTGGACTGCACAGCAGACTGATTCCGAGAGCGTCGTCTTCGTCGCTCTGTCTCTCTCGAACCTATACGGGACGCCCCACGAGTGCGAGAGAGACAGACAGAGCGGCGACCCTCGGAATCAGTCTGCCGAGCGGAGCATGCAGTGGCGCAGCGCAGCGACGCAGCCAATGGCAGCCAATGGCACTGAACGGGCCAATGAAGCGAGCAATCGAGCAGCCAATCTATCAATCAGTGCATCCAAGGCGCAGCGGCGGCCGAGGTGGTCGGAGAGAGGGGGGAAAGGGGGGGGGGGTCAAGGAGCACTTTTTGCCTACTTGAGGTGCAACACCGTGAAACCAAGTGCGGAGAACTCCTCACACTTGAAATGCGGAGGTGTGGAATTTGCAGTCTCCCCACTTGGAAGTGCAGAGTTTAGAGTCTCCACGCGTCAAGTGAGAAGGAGCTCGAGCCCCTATCTCTCGGCATGTGGGGCAAAGGTGTAGAACTCTTCACTTGAAGTGTGGACACTGCAAACTCCACACGGCCTACAGTGTGGAGAATCACTCCGCAACAGGAAGTATGGAGCTCTCCACCCTTGGTTTGACAGTGCAGTATTCACTGTTCCTGGATATCCTAGGCCCTAGGACTCTACTCTAGTATGAGTGGTACCCAAAGTCGCCGCGTTACCGCCGCGGCCCGCCATCAGGAAGGAGGGGGGGGGGGCCGAGGCGCCGCCAGCGCCGCGTCGACACAGTGCCCCCAATTGTTTGGCGCGCGGACTGGCGGCGGCGCTCTTCGCTCGGCCTTCGGCGCCTAGGCCCCTCGCACCGCCTATCGCCTACCTCACAGTGGGCCAGAAGACCGGTGGAGGCGGCCAAAATCCCGGACGCGTTTTGAGCTCCAGAGTCGCTAAGTGGGACTCGAATGGAACGTGTGACCCCACCAATGGATTGCTCTCCGCACGAGGAATCCATTGGTGGGGTCACACGTTGGGTTTGTGTGGTATTTAGCGACTCTGGAGCTCAAAACGCGTCTAGAGTTTTGGTCGCCTCCACCGGTCTTCTCTGGCCCACAGTGTATCGCCTACCGCCGTTCTGTCAGACCACATGTCGTGGAGAACTGCACACTTCCTGGCGCGGAGTCATACTCCACGCTGGGCCGTGGAGTTTGCAGCCAACACACTTGGGGTCGGGCGTGGAGTAGCTCACAGCGCCCCTACCTCTTGCCATGGTGCAAACCTGGAGAACTCCACACTTGGAGTGTGGAGACTCTAGACTGCGTTCCAAGTGCGGGGGCCCACACCTCCGCGTGGAGTTCTCGACACTTGGCTTGACAGCGTTATCACCCGCTGGCGGGTTAGTTTCTTGACTGCGTGGGGCCGCGGCCGCCCCGGGCCTCACTTTCCCCAAACACAATCAGGCGGAGGGGGGAAGGGGGTCGCCCGTCGCGCTGAGGAGGTCGCGGAGGTTCCGTACCGGCCCCAATGGCAGGCACGTGCACGTCAGTCTTGCATCGACTGGGCGAATCACCGACTTTGCACTTTGCTTTGTCGGTCACTTTGACTCAGTCGCAGCATACAGTTAGTTCTAGTGTTACTATTTTCACAGGAAACGTATACACTGTGAAGACGGTTCCTGATATGACATGAGCGATTTCCAGGAAGTTCCCGGGAAAACTAGGAACCATTTTTACCGTGTATACAACGTACAATGTACCAACGTTCTACAGGCAGAGCAATAATCACATTTAGGGGCACCCCCCCCCCATAAAAAACGTGTGAGCGACTCTTTGTGTCACGCCAAAGTGACTTGGCTGTCTCGGCCCAGACAGCCTTCCCTCCTTGTTTTTTGCCGGGGCGGCACGCAAGAGCGTAAGAGAGGCATAACGAGCCAAACTGCGACACTGCTGCGGTCGGTCGAGTACGTACTTTGTTGGCGCACTACACTCAGCTGCAGGCTGCATCCGAAGAGTGCCTCTCTCTGTCTGTCTGTCTGTCTGTCTGTCTGTCTGTCTGTCTGTCTGTCTGTCTGTCTGTCTGTCTGTCTGTCTTCTCTCTCTCTCTCTCTCTCTCTCTCTCTCTCTCACACTATCATGGCGCATGACGCGGATGGGTGTGGGTGCGAGAGAGACAGGGTGACGAAGCACCTGAGCCCGAGCGGTGATAAAAGCATGGTCGGTGGTGCACTGCTAGGCAGGGAGGGGGACCGACTGGAAACGCTGGAGTAGGTTTGGGAAGGTCTCGAATGTCCCGAGGTCTCGCCGCCAATGCAAAATTACCGCCAATAAAAGGGTAGAGTTATGAGCGCCTTTCGATGTAGAGCGTTGCCGCATCGACGTTGCCACTGCTGCAGACTGATTCCGAGAGTCGTTCTCGTCGCTCTGCCTCTCTCGCACTCATGGGGCGTCCCACATAGGTGCGAGAGAGGCAGAGCGACGAGAACGGCTGTCGGAATGAGCCTGCTGCATGACCCTGCCGCAGCCTCCTACACCCTCCTCCCAGTTCCGCGGCCAAGTTTTCCCGTTTTCTCCTTCTCGAACTGCTGTCGCGTCCGGACGGTCCGGACCTCCACGCCGAGTGGGAGTGAGAAAGCGCCAGTCCGCTCCGCCTGCATGCCGCCCTGCGCAGCCCTGCCGTCTGATTCCGAGCACTGCTTTCGTCGCTCTGTCTCTCTCGCACTCATGGGGCGGTCCGTAGCGGTGCGAGAGAGACAGAGCGACGAAGCAGTGTTCGGAATCAGACGGCTGCGTCCTGGCCTTTGTGCCTGCGTGACCGGCGCCGCGTAGCGACGCGCTGCACTGTGGAACCAAGTGTGGACAACTCCACACTTGGGGTGTGGAGGTGTGCAATTTCCAGTCTCCGCACTTTGGAAGTGAAGCAGTCTCCACACTTCGAGTGTGGAGTTCTCCATGTTTGCGCCACGCCAACGCTCTGTCAGGTACTCCACACTTGAGGTGTGCAGACTGCAAACTCCACACGTCCAAGTGTGGAGAATTTACTCAGCACCAGGAAGTGTGGTGTGGAGTTCTCCACACACTCCAAATGTTGTACAGGGAAGATTCTCCATATTACGGTGAAAATGTTCCATGTTAAGGCGGTGCAGCTGACTTCATAACGCACCATTGAGAATTCACTGTGCCTTCTAGATATTTTTGACGAATTTCGTTGGTATTTTAGGGGAAAATCTCCACCATATTATGTTGGCGCAGCCTTTCACCGCAAGACATTTACAGTGCACTCGGTTTCACAGTGCAGCCTGCTGGGCTGCTGGGCGCGCCTCCGCCACCACGCCCACGCTGTCCTCCGCCAGGCTCCAGATCGTCCAGATCTTTCGCCGGAGTCCGAGTCGGCTGGGCTGGGCTCGGCCAGGCCGCCTGGACTGGAGTGCCCAGTGGCGTGCGCCGCGGGAGTGTGTGTGTGTGTGTGTGTGTGTGTGTGTGTGTGTGTGTGTGTGTGTGTGTGTGTGTGTGTGTTATGACCCCCCCCCCCGCTTTGGCCACTAGACAGCCGCCTGGGAGGTAGGCAAATTGCGTCACGTTCCCCCTGTAAGTAGGCAAAAAGCATGGCCTGACCCCTCCCCCCCTTTTTTTTTCAAAATTTCTGCGCACGCCACTGGGAGTGCCGTAAGCACCGCAAGGCACCCAACCTCGTTGTCCATCCATGTTCTGCGTCCAAACAAAACCGCCCAGCAGCTTCTGTCGCGCAATGAGAGAGAGAGAGAGAGAGAGAGAGAGAGAGAGAGAGAGAGAGAGAGAGAAAAAAAAAGAGAGAGAGAGAGAGAGAGAGAGAGAGAGAGAGAGAGAGAGAGAGAGAGAGAGAGAGAGAGAGAGAGAGAGCACGCCGTTCGGAGCCGTTCTGGCAGCGGGGAGGCCGGCGCCGGCGTCCCGGTGGCCGTCGCCGTCCCGGTGCCGTCGTGCCCCGCGCTGACCCATTCCCCTGACCCACTGCCGACGCGGTGCTGCGGCGGCGCCTCCGCCAGCCTCAGCCTCCAGGCCTCCAGACCGTGAGTCAGCCCGGGGTCTGGAGGGAAGGGGGATGGGAGGGGGAACGCCAAAGCGAGTGAGGTTCACAAGCCAAATGCACAAGGCGACAAGACGCACAGACATCCAATTTGACAGCATTGGTAAAACTGAATAAAGGATGCCGACTGCCTGTATTGTCAGCGGTACTGTTAAGACATATCGAACTTTGACCTACGCGAACTGGGAGCTCTGTAGACATCGAGCTTTCTCGGATGGGAGCTCAGGACATCAATCAATGAACATGGGCGTTGTTGCGCCCTCGGTTGCGCCTAGCCATTCCACACGGAGCCAGAGGGAGCCGGATGGAGCCGGAACACACAGACTGGCTCGCACCCATACACGGGGCACGCCGTGAGTGCGAGAGAGACAGGCGACGGGATTAGCCCGCTGGCCCGCTACACTATGAAAATTTGTTGTCACTTTATGACAAAAACGTGGATGATACTTTCATCACTTTGAAATGATGATAGTCTCATCAAAAAATTGCCGACATTTTCATCAAAACTCCTATACTTATTGCATGGGCGTGACAACAATGTCATAAATTGTTTCAATGACATTGTTGTAAGGAAAATTAGCCTTGGAATTGTCATCAAATGACGACTCAAATTTTTATGGTGTAGGAGCGGCAACGAGCAGCGCCGCGCAGTGCAGAGTGGTCTTCCCTCGCCTTCCTCTCCGCTTCATTAATTTCTGCTCTAAATAAATCCCCCGCCACCCGCCCGCCATCCCCTGCGCCCTGCCCCACCCTGAGCCGCAGACCGATTCCGAGAGCCGCATTGGTCGCTCTGTCTCTCTCGCACCTACTCAGGAAGCCCTACGAGTGCGAGAGGGACAGAGCGACGAAAACGACCCTCGGAATCGGTGTGGTGCCCCACCCTTCCTGCCCGCCGCCTCGCCTCCGCCCGTTTGGTGACATCAGCCGTCTGATTCCGAACACTGCTTCGTCGCTCTGTCTCTCTCGCACCCCTACGGACCGCCCCATGAGTGCGAGAGAGACAGAGCGACGAAAGCAGTGCTCGGAATCAGACGGCTGGCCAGCAGTGCTGCCGTGCTGCCGTGCTGCGGGGCTGCCGCCGCTCAGAATGCATCAGGGAATCAGGTATGCATGCCAACATTGTAGGGCTGGCGGCCGGCCAGCCCCTCTCCCTGTACCTGCAGACTCATTCCGAGAGTCGTCTCCGTCGCCCTGTCTCTCTCGCACCCATAAGGCCGCCCCATGAGTGCGAGAGAGACAGAGCGACAGCGCAGAGCGACGATGCAGGCTGCGGACCGGCCAGGACGACCAGGCGCGCTATTCAGAAGCGCGTGCGGTTCGTCGCTCTGTCTCTCTCGCACCCTTACGGAGAGCCCCACGAGTGCGACAGAGACAGAGCGACGTCTCGGCACTCCGACGCACGGCTCACCTCCACGGCGCGCGCGGCACCGCGGCACCGGGGACATTATGTCCGAGTCACCTCCACTCCGCCGTTTTCCCCCGGCGCGGCCCGGCCCGGCGGTGACTCCGCGCCGTCGCTCTGTCTCTCTCGCCCCTGCACAGGACGTCCCGTGAGTGCGACAGAGACAGAGCGCCGGACGCGCGGAATCACCCTGCAGCCTGGCGCCCCGCGGCCAATGCGTTACCTATGCTACCCCCCCCCCCCCCGGGTCCAGTTTGCGCCCACTCGCGTAACGCCGGTCGTGCCGTTAGCATGCAGACTGATTCCCGGAGTCGCTCTCGTCGCGCTGTCTCTCTCGCACTCATGGGGCGTCCCGTGTGGGTGCGAGGGAGACGCAGCGACGAAAACGACTCTCGGAATCAGTGTGCCGGCGCGCTGGCGCCCGGCCTTGGTCACGCCCTGGTCGCGCTTCCGCCGCGCGCCGACGCGCAGCGCGAACCTCACACATACCGTTGTACCGTTGTACCTACTGCCGCGCTCATGTGTGGTCTAGCCCGTAGTGGTAATGGCAATGCAGGTAGGCAACCGGCTGAGCTGCAGCGCAGCGGTGCCTCGCGGGCTGGCCTACCTCCGCGGCGTTCGCGCACGCCGCCGGAGCTCGATGCTGTGCTCCCGTCCCACAGTGGGCCAGAAGACCGGTGGAGGCGGCCAAAATTCTAGACGCGTTTTGAGCTCCAGAGTCGCTAAATGGGACTCGAGCCGAACATGTGACCCCACCAATGGATTGCTCTCCGAACGAGGAATCCATTGGTGGGGTCACACGTTAGGGTTCGAGTCCCATTTAGCGACTATGCAGCCCAAAACGCGTCTAGAGTTTTGGCCGCCTCCACCGGTCTTCTGGCCCACTGTTCCGTCCCCCCCAGGCAGCCAGCAGACTGATTCCGAGAGTCGTTTTCGTCGCTCTGTCTCTCTCGCACCCACACGGGACGCCCCATGAGTGCGAGAGAGACAGCGCGACGAAAACGACTCTCGGAATGAGTCCGTGGTCGTGCAGACGTCGCGCCCAAAACACGCGCGCGAGGCGGCCAGCCTCGTCCTTCGCCATGCCCCGTTTCGCGCCAACTCGGAGTCGCGGCGGCCCTGGCGGCAGTCTGTCTCTCTCGCACCCTTACGGGACGCCCCGTGAGTGCGAGAGAGACAGAGCGACGGGAGCAGCGCTCTGAAAATCAGTCTGCTGCCGAGTGATTCGTCGCTCTGCCTCTGTCGCACTCCCGAGGGTCTTCGAATGGGTGCGAGAGAGACAGAGCGACAAACCGATTTTCTGAATCGCTCGGCTGCTCATTACCCGGCTGGGCTGGTTTCGCTGCCGCGGTGCCGGCCGTCCCGGCCGGTCGCTCTGTCTCTCTCGCACCCTCACGGAGAGCCCCATGAGCGCGACAGAGACAGAGCGACAAAACGACTCTTTCGGAATCGTTCGGCTGCCGCTACACTGTGAAAAAAAATTCCGTAGTTTTGTACGGATAGTGTACAGACGAAATTGGTACGGAAGTACTAGTCCCATAAGTCCCATAAGTCCCATAAGAACCCATGTAATCGGGTACGGAAAAAAGTGCAGAAGTTCCGTAGTAGGACAGGTACGGACGGTCCAGGCAAATTATTGACCAGACATGTTCCGTACTTTTTCCGTACTTTTTTCTCGCAGTGTAGCACAGTGCAGCACAGCCGGCTGGCGTCGGAGAAGACCCGAATCCAGCGACTGTTGTGCCAATCAAAGCCACGAAGGCGCCCATGGCACCAATGAAATGCCCTTGCCCTTCGAACGAGCCGAATCTGTGCTCGATTCGCTGAATCGATTCCCATTGCAGGACTGCACTGCAGACTCATTTACTGCTGTCCGTCTCTCTCGCACCCATACGGGGTGCCCCAAGAGTGCGAGAGAGACAGAGCGACGAAGGCAGTGCTCGGGTGGTCTGCAAACACGGAAGCGGACTGCCGCGGCGCTTTGGTGCTTTGGTGCTTTGAAGCTTTGCACAGTGGATTTGCCAGAAGACCGGCGCCGGCGGCCAAAACTCTAGATGCGTTTTAAGGTCCAGAGTCGCCAAGCGGGACTCGAACCGAGCGCGTGACCCCACCAATGGATTCCTCGTTCGGAGAGCAATCCATTGGTGGGGTCACACGTTCGGTTCGAGCCCCAGTTAGCGACTCTGGAGCTCAAAACGCATCTAGGGTTTTTGCCGCCTCTTGCAAATCCACTGTGCTTTGATACTTTGATGCTCTGATTCGGCCAAAGGCGTTGCAAATTCGCGCGCGCGGTGATGCTTCGCGCTTCGCCTCGGAGTGGCGCGGGTAATTTTAACTTTCCCGTCACGACACTAAACACACGTGGGTTTCGCTTCGCGCCAGACCGGGCGGGGAGGGGAGGGGAGGGCGGAGGGGAAGGGGAATGGAGGGGAAGGGTGGGGACAGGGAGGGGAAAGGGGGAGGGGGAGGGGAGCCCTCGGCCCACGAGGCGGAACACGGAACGTCAACCGCCGGGAAGGCACATGGGCGATGGGCGTCCGGCTTCTCGGGACTTAGGACGCCTCTCGCGAGCCAAATTTATTAATACTACTCGTGTCGCGCTGGCTCCAATCTCAGGCATCGCAGCCACAAAGGGGGAAGAAAGGCTTCGGGCGGGACACGGTGAAACCAAGTGTGGAGAACTCCACACTTGAAATGCAGCGACACAGGTAAAACGGGAGCGTAGTTGTATGCTTCATTCAAGCATACAACTACACTGAGAAAACCTTACGAACTATTTTGGGCCTTACAAAGAAAAGTAGTTTGTATAACAAAGTATTTTGAGCATACGTAAGCTTACAAAGAAAATACTTCGTAATTTACGAACTATTTCTTCGTATAACAAAGTATTTTAGTTTGTTATATGTATGCTCAAAATACTTCGTAAGGTTTTAAGAGTGTACGCTTGAAGACTTTACGCTTGACGTCAAACGTGGAGAAGAAATCCTCCCATACATTTAGATAGGCGGGAGTGGGGCGAAATGGAGAACTACGCTTGAAGCCGAGCGCAGTCCTACTACGCTTGAAGAAAGGCGTTAACTGGGCGTTAAAGTACGCTTGAGTTCTACCAGTGGAGTGAGGAGTTCTTGGGAGTGCAGAGTTTACAGTGTCCACACTTCAGGTGGAGTTCTCCTCGTTTGCACCATGCCAAGAGGTAGGGGCTCTGTGAGCTACTCCACACTTGAAGTGTGGAGGCTGCAAACTCCACACGTCCCAGCGCGTCCCAGCGTGGAGACTGCAAACTCCACACGTCCCAGTGTGGAGACTGCAAACTCCACACGTCCCAGCGTGGAGACTGCAAACTCCACACGTCCCAGTGTGGAGACTGCAAACTCCACACGTCCCAGCGTGGAGACTGCAAACTCCACACGTCCCAGTGTGGAGACTGCAAACTCCACACGTCCCAGCGTGGAGAATTACTCCGCGTGAGGAAGTGTCGAGTCTGGTCAGTTCTCCACACTCGGTTTCACAGTGGACCGGCGTCCGTCTCGACGACTCGGTAAACTCACCTCGACCAGCGACCGCAGAGGCGCACTCAAAATCCAAGAGAAATCGCCAAGGCACTTGACGGCACTACACTGCTCACTGCACTCCCGTCAGAGAAACCCAATTTCTGTTCCGAACATGGCACTGTTCCCGGCGCACTGGAACCACTGGAACCGGGGGTGGGGGTGGTGTCTGGAGGGGTGGCGGCGCGACGGGCGCGACCCGGCGGCGGCGTCTGTCCGTGGACGGCGACGAACACTCATAGGACGTCCTCTTCGGGGGCGGCTTCTCTCTGTCTCCCTCCCTCGCGGCCTGCACTCCGCGCCTCTGGACACTGCGGACTACCTTCCGGCCGGCACGGCGGCGTGCTGGCGGCGAGCGCGGCCTGCCGAGGACGCGGACGACGAGGACGACGCGGACGCGACGGCTTGCCGGGACTCCACCGACTCCACGGACTCGACGCGCGAGACGACGAGACTGCCAACGGACGACACGCACGGCGGCGACGACGGCGACGGCGGCCCACTCGTCGACTCGACCGGTCCGCGGATACACGGCGAGTGCCAGCCAGCGCCACGCCACTCCACTGCCAGCGCCAGCCAGGCCGGCCAGCGCCGAGGCGGGGCGGGTGCCGCAACGCGGGCCGGGCCGTTGGGCCCCGCCGCGCCGCGCCGCACCGCCACCGCCCCGCACTGCCCCGCCTGGCGCGGCCCGTCGTCGCGGGGCGCGGCGGGAGGGGAGGCGGGGGCGAGGAGCGGAGTCCAAGAGGACGACTGGTTGGGGCTGCCATGAGCACAGCCGGCACAGCGGGGCGGCGGGCTGGGGCTGGCCATGCTCGTCGCCATGCTCGTCGCCATGCTCGTCGACACGCTCGTCATAGTCGCCATGCTCGTCGCTATGCTCGCCCCCATCGCCAAGCACGTCGTCATCGCCATGGTCGTCGCCATGGTCGTCACCGTCGCCCTGCTCGTGACGGTCGCCATGATCGTCGCCATGTTTGTCACCATTGACATAGACGTCGTCGTCGCCATGCTCGTCGCCATGCTCGGCACCGTCACCATAGTCGTCGCCATTCTTGCCACCATCGCCATGGTCGTCGTCGCCATGGTCGTCGTCGCCATGGTCGTCACCGTCGCCACGCTCCTCGCCACCTCTCCTGCATGCCACAAGCGAGAGGCCCGACCGATACGGCCAAACACACAAGCCTTGGGCGCAAACAGCACCTGCAGACTGATTCCGGCAAACGGTCTCGTCGCTCTGTCTCTCTCGCGCCGAAGCGGTACGCCCCACGAGTGCGAGGGAGACACGGCGACGAAAATGACTGTCGGAATCGGTCTGCCGCACCACTGCCACAGTTAGAAATTGGATTAGCTTCGCACGGCCGAGGCTGCCGAGGCCGAGACACGACGCTCTGCATCGGCTCCATACTAATAGAGGGACGCTGGCGCTGGAACGAAAGAAACACCCCGGGGATACTCCGCGCGCGAGAGACTCTTGATACCAGCCCGCCACCCGCCCGTCGTGCGTGGGGTATCGATGGGGGGCAGTCGGGGGGAGACGTCGCTCGCACGTATAGGGGACGCCCATGAGTGCGAGAGAGACAGAGCGACCAAAACTACTCTCGGAATCGTCCTGCCGGGCCAGGCCGGGCCAGGTCACCAGGCAGCCTGGGGAGAGCGGCTAATCGGAAAAGACCCGTCCGAGGCAGGAAAACGGGCAAGCTTGCCATGCGCCGGACTGTCGCGCTGCCGCCATGAGAGCGCCGTCGCATCGCAACGCATCGCAACGCATCGCAACGAGCTACGAGGTCGACGAAAATAAGTCAGTCGGTGCTGTGAGTCCCTGTCAAGCTTCCGCTGGGTGCAGGGAGCTTAGGACGGCGGTAAATTGCGAGGAACAGACGATGACGATGGGTGCTGCCCTCCAACTCGCCGGCCCTCGTCCCTGGTCCCCCACCGCACAGTGGGCCAGAAGCCGGTGGAGGCGGCCAAAACTCTAGACGCGTTTTGAGCTCCAGAGTCGCTAAATGGGACTCGAACCGAACGTGTGACCCCACCAATGGATTGCTCTCCGAAAGAGGAATCCATTGGTGGGGTCACACGTTCGGTTCGAGTCCTGCTTAGCGACTCTGGAGCCCAAAACGCGTCTAGAGTTTTGTCCGCCTTCCACCGGTCTTCTGGCCCACTGTGCACCGTGACCGCCAGACTGATTCGGAGAGTCATCTTCGTCGCTCGGTCTCTCTCGCACTTATACAGGACGCCCATGAGTGCGAAGGAGACAGAGCGACGAAAACGACGATTCGAATCCTTCTGCCGAGTTGGGAGCAGCTTTCGCGCAACGCTTCGAACGGCCGCGCTTTCCCCCACCCAGTCCACCCAGGATGGCAAACAAGCGGCTTTAAATCGATTCACAGATTCCAATTTACGCAATTTTTTTCGAAGGTTTAAATATTTTCAAATATAAATTTCATGTAGAAATTTGCAATTACCTCACTGTTTAAACGTACTGCGGCACCTGAAAAGTGTTACAAATTCTTCGATAATTTTGCGACAGTTGGCAATAGACCGCCGTTTTCGTCCTGCGAACAAGCGAGTCCCTCCTCACTATCCGCAGTCCTGTCGGCGAGCTCCATGCGGCAGCAGAGCGGTGGCTTTGTTTACCTATTTCGGACTTTTTGACAGTTTTTACTGGTTGAACATTCTGAAAGTCGTTTCCATCAGTCGCAACGATTTAATCGACGGCTGTCGTGATGAGCTTCGAGTACCAGAAACTCCAGCACCGCGCGGAAGTTGCGGTTAGTTGCTGTGCCACATGTACCATTGTGTCAGCATCTGTACTGCATGTTGTTTTTACTTTGGGGGCAACAAAATCAATCTCGATGGTTATTTCAATTAGAAATACACCATTGACATGCAGAGTCTTGTTTTTCTCTTTGAGACATGCCTGTCTTCATCTTTTCATCTACATCGCAGTGCTTAAAACAACATTTCTGTTGCAGGAGCATGAAATAAAAAACTTGGAAGATAAATTACAGTATCTGAGGACGGAATTGAACAAAAATGTGAGTGACTTGGAGCTTCCTGCCCACACTGCCGTAGCAGGGCTGCCTGACGAATTAGCTCAACTTATCACGGACAACATCAAACTGAAGATGCGCTCAGCTGTCTTGAAACGGGTAAGTTTTGTGGATTCCGATAAGGCTTGAGGAGAAGAGCGCAAGGAAGAAAAAGACATTTCTCACCCCATTGTTCACCCTTAAAGAACTCTCCGCACCACTGTTTTTACTCGTTCTTTACCTACTTTCTATATCCATACAAAGGTAAAGACGAGTATTGTGTTTGGTAAGACACAACTTGGTGACACATGTTTAACTCAGTAAATACTTAACACACAATTGTAATGTAATATTTTTTGAATAGGTATGGTTTTGGTGAGAAACTAATGTTAGAAGCTTTTTTCTGTTACCATGAAGCACTTTTTACCTTAAAATCAATAGGAGCGAAGTGCAAGTTCTGGACTGAATGATGGAATAGGATATTTTGCAAAGTTAAACATTTAGGACCAAGTGTTGTGACTCATTAGAAAGCCAACAATGAGTCCTAAAATTCTCCTCTTATGAATTTTACCCGTTTATTACATGATTTTTTGAGATTACTAGATGTTGTGCTGTTGCCAGCCAAAATGTTCTAAGTCCCACGGTTTTAACCTCAACAACGGTGCCGGCGCATGCGCCCTCTCGCCGCTAGGTCTCAGGGAAGCCCCGTCCCTCTAGGGGCATTGTTAGCACACCCCAGCCATGTAACGTGATGTAGACCAATGGATACAGCCCTGCTCCCCCGATCTCTAAACCCAAGTTCAATGCCCATAGATTGTACTATACAAGCATTATTTTTCTCTGAAGTAATGTTGTTACCAAAACCTTGAACTATTCAGAAGACATCAGTTAAATGGTTTACGCCTTATATTGACTGAAATACTGAGATTACATTTGTGTCACCTGAAGGCAAAGAACGAGTACCACTTAGCAAAATTGATAAATTGCTTCTCTAACTTGTTTTCTTTTCTTCTCTCACTTCTTCCCAGGTCCCGTCAGAATTGCATCATGCAAGTCGCAAAAATTGCATCATGCAAGCCTCAAATGCCAAGTGTGTCTGTACATCTAGTAATGTGTTCTAATGATTTATTTACTTGTATGATTCTTATTTCAGGCCATAGAGGAAGAAGAAAAGTCAGGCAAAAGAAAACCGGAGATGCGTGAACCTGTTGTGGGATCCAGCATTTTGAATGCGCTTGAGAAATATTTTGCGGTGGCAGTGCAACGAGCATACCCTGAACTTCCTGATGCCCCTGTTATCATCTCTCTCTCAGGCAATTCCAAATTTGGAGATTACCAATGCAACTCTGCAATGCCTATCACCCAACTGTTGAAGGCCAAAGGTTGATTTCTAAACTTCATTGTTATCTCATACCTCTAGATAATTGTTGTCTACCATCGCCATTTAATTTTTGGTAAATATGTGTAGGTGAAAAGGCAAATCCTCGCGAGGTGGCACAGAAGCTGATGGATTCAGTTCCACCTTTCTCTTGGGTTGAGAAACTTGAAATTGCTGGGCCAGGCTTCATTAACATTTCATTGAGCCGCTCTGTGGGACATCGTGCCTTGAAGGATCTCCTTGAGAACGGTGTTCATCCGCCACCTGTTGATCGCAAAATCACTGTGCTTGTCGACTTTCCCTCTCCAAATATTGCCAAGGATATGCATGTGGGTCATCTCAGGTTTGTATGATTTCTTAGTAGGTAAATTAGTTGTTTGGAATTATGAAAACTGTTAAATACATTTTAATTGCAAAATTGTCTCTTTTTTCAGGGCTGCAATTATTGGAGAAAGTGTGAGTCGCTTATTTGAATTTGTGGGTCACAAAGTGTTGCGAGTCAATCATCTTGGAGACTGGGGCACACAATTTGGAATGCTGATCACTCATCTTCAGGACATTTATCCGGATTATCAAACAAAATCTCCACCCATCAGTGACCTTCAGACATTCTACAAGTAAGTTTTCTCTGTAGACACAGATTTTAATGGGTCATGTGAAACTAAGTCCAAGTGGGAGTGCCACTTAGTTTTGCTGAGCTTTTTGCAATGATAGATTAAATTTTGGAATTTTAGGGAATCAAAAAAGAGGTTTGATGAAGATGCTGAGTTTAAAAAGAGATCTTATGAATCTGTGGTGAAACTCCAAAGTTTTGACCCTGTATACAACAAAGCTTGGCAGCTAATTTGTGACGTTTCTCGCAAAGGTAGTGTACAATGAATTGAAGTATGGATTTGATCTTTCATTGTGTCACCAGCTATAATTTCTCTCATTATTTTTTCCACAGAGTTCCAAAAGATTTATGACCGGTTGGACCTAACATCAACTGAGATAGGAGAATCCTTCTACCAAAGTCGAATGGAACAGGTTGTGAAGGAGCTTGAAGAAAAGGGTACTTGTAACTCTACTTTACACCTGCTGCCAAATTGTGGATCATTCTGTTTGCTTTAAGAAACTCATCACTATTCTGGTTGTTACTTCTAGGACTGCTGGAAGAAGATGAAGGCCGAAAAGTTATGTTTGGGCGCTCAGATCGAATTCCCTTTACCATAGTGAAGTCGGACGGAGGCTTCACTTATGACACTTCAGACATGGCAACAATTAAGTACCGAATCCATGAACAGAAGGCTGATTGGATCATCTATGTTGTGGATGCTGGTCAAGTGAGTACCGAAAACTAAATACAAATTGTTTGATTTCAATTAACTTACTCACTACAGTAATGTACCATCATTTTATCCAATCCATAATTTAGTCGACGCACTTCGAAGTATTGGAAGCCTGTGCTGTAAAGGCTGGTATACTGGACCCGAAAAAAGTCCGAATGGACCATGTACAATTTGGTGTAGTTCTTGGAGAAGACAAAAAGAAATTCAAAACTCGATCTGGAGAGACTGTGAAACTTGCAGCATTGCTCGATGAAGGTATGAAACAACATGCTAAATTTTTGTGAGTTGTGTAGAATGTTTCCGTGATGAATTATTGGTTTATCTTTGCTGCTGACAGGACTAAAACGTGCTGGTGATAAACTGAAAGAGAAAGGTCGAGACCAAGTTCTAACACCAGAGGAGTTGAGGGTTGCTCAAGAAGCAGTAGCCTATGGATGTATCAAGTATGCCGACCTTTCTCACAATCGGACCCATGAATATATTTTCTCATTTGACAAGGTGAATTTCTTCAAACCTGCAGTATTTGGGAAAAGAATTTGGGTTTAAGACTGACATTAATATCATGTACCTTGTGTTCAACAGATGTTGGAGGACAAGGGAAACACAGCCGTCTATCTCCTTTACATGTTGACAAGGATAAGATCCATTGGACGCTTGGCTGGCTTCACTCCTGAGGCTCTGAAGGAATCTGCCAAAAACACTCCTGTCTCACTTGATCATGAAAAAGAATGGAATTTAGCTAAAGTAAGTGTTTTTCAGAGGTTTGCTTTTTTTCTATGGTTAGCACAAATGTTTCTCACACTCCCTTTCTCTTATCAGGTAATTCTCAGGTTCCCTGAAACACTTGAAAAAATCATGCGGGATCTTCTGCTCCATCATCTTTGTGAATATTTGTATGATGTATCAACTGCTTTCTCAGAATTCTATGACAACTGCTACTGTGTGGAAAAGAATCCCAAGGGTATGTACAGCTCTTATTTGTGCTAGTTCTTGTAACAAAATGCAGCTTGTGGTAACTGTTGCTCTTTTGTTTTGTTTTTAGGTGAAATTATCTCGGTGAACGTTGGTAGACTATTGCTTTGTGAAGTAACAGCATCGGTGATGGAAAAGTGCTTCCAAATTCTTGGCATTCGAACTGTCTCAAAGATGTGAAATCAGCTGTGATTCTTAGAACTAATTTATGATGAATAATAATAATAGCAATAAAGAGGTCTAAACTAATTTACTCATTTGTATTTCATTTTGACAATATTCCATGGGACATAATTTTCAATTATAACTGCCCAGCAGCTGCATAAAAATTAACTTCTAACACGAATTGAGAGAAATATTTGTTAACTGTTGTGTCACTTAGGAGCTAAAGGTAAATGTCAATTACTCATCAATCATGGATTTAACTTTGGGGGAAATGAAAGATCACTCAGACTACCGATCACGGTCTGATTGGTCTATTGCTCACCTATTGAGAACACTGTAGCGCTGACATTATTAGAACGATATTAATGATGGCATCTGGATCTAGGTTTTTTTTCTACTTTTGAACTACTATCAGTTCCTTCTAAAAATCACTGAGCATTTTTCCCACTCCCCTGCAGTACGAAAGTCAAGACATAACAAAAGAAAATTTTAATTTAAAAATTTAGTTAAAATATGCCAATATCTATCTGGTAGAAAAGAAATGGTGTTTCTAATTTGATTTTCTTGCCAAAAGTGTCATGATATCTACTATTACTTTTAGCACACAAACCACTCTTGGGAGTTGTGAATACATTTAAATAACTGGATTTCACCACTATGTTTCCCCTCTACTAGATACACTTGGCAAGGAGTGAGAGGAAAGGAGAGGCTGGGCTGTTTGAGTTAAATTAAGAAATACATGAAACTGCTATTTGAAAATCTATAATCAAATCAACAACTAACAATAAGAGTTAAGTTGTCCTAAAGCTATGGTTCATGGAAAATGTAATATTTACACGCATAAGAGTACCTGGGCTGCAACACAGATCCCAATCAAACATTGGCCAGCTGGACTTTTTCACCTGGTTTAAATGCTGGCATACCTAAGTAAGGGCAACTTGCACATCTGAATGCATCACCAAGGTAGCACTGCAAGACAAATCAAGATTGATTAAAAACAGGGCAAAATGGAATCATGTATAGAGTACTGGCAATGAAAGGTGCATGCTTACACTGCCACAAGATGAGGTTTTAGTCGTGGTTTCTTCTTTCTTTCCCCCTTCAGCGGCAAGTTCCTCTGCAAGACCACAACTGCAGTTCTTGCAGGCTTTCCTCACACCAGTTGTGCCACATACTGAAGCAAAGTAAATTTGGCATGAAGCTCAGTGCAAAACAACAACAAAACAATAATTAAGAAAACAAAATTAAGTAAATAAAAAAAAACATTTTGTTTACCTTTTAAGGAGGCAGCGTCAGGCTTCTTCAGATCTTCCTCATCTAGCAATTGATCTGAGTCAATCAAATCAACGGTATCGTCCTCTACATCATCAATCTTCCATACAGCTGCCACCGAATCAGCTGGTTTGGGAAGAGACAGGGCGGCAGATGAACCCACCTGGAACAACAGAATGATAAGCCATTGCGTCACACAAAAGCAATTGTGGAAGGTTGGAAGGTTTAGGTAACGCTGTAGCATTGAGTCCACAAGTGTCAACTCATAGCTATCGACCTTTAATAAATGATTCCCGTGGAACCTTCACTTACCTCAAAGTTTGGTTTTTGGCACTTAAATTGAACTACAGAAGCTCCCTCTTCAGCATCTGACTGGGGAATCTGAGACAGTGATGTAAACCCACTTATCTTCAGAGTCGAGGACAGTTTTTCAGGAGTACGCAAGCCAGTGGCAGTTCCAGTAGGTTCTCTGACAACGAGGAGACCGTTGGGCTTCAGCACACGTAGAATTTCCACAAAAGTGTCGTTTGAGTGTGAGAGACCACCCGGCTGGACGAGACCAGACAGAACTAGGTCAAAATGTGACGCAGGGTGAGCACCTAGAACCAAAAGTAAAATGTAGCAGCCGGCATTGCACAACGCTTGACTCATCACATTTACATAACCTCTTAGCAAAACAAAGATTTGCTGCGCGACGGATGCAAACGGGCCCAATCTTAATTTCGTACCTATGGCAAGTCTGTCGACATTTTCTACTGCAACCAGTCCGTTGTCACCGACAAGTTTCTTGGCCTCCTCCACGACGGATTGCAGTCTCTCTCCGGGAGCGGACGAGCCCCACACGATAAGGACGTTCAGCCCCGGCTTGACGAACTCCATCTTGAGCGAGGTTTATAGGGAAACAATTAAAGACTTGCTGACAGTTGCACTTGACGATATTGTTGACGCAAATACGACGAGCGAACGTCAGCGGACTGTTCAAAACACGCAACGATGTTGTTGCCGAAGCACTGCTGCTGCTGCTGCTGCTGCAACTGCCGCAGCCGCAGCAGACAGGAGAAAGATAGTTCAGCGCCTTGCCAGCCGATGGCGCTGCTGTAGGCGGCGGCAAGATTCAAATACACTCGAGTTCCGGATATGTCTTACACTCCCGATCGGTGAGTAACAAAAACTAGGGCATTTCTAGAGCAGTGAGAACTGTTTCATTTTCTGGGTTAGTCAGAACTGCCCTCATGTTCTCCTACAGTGCGGCTTTCTGGAGTGCTGCCTTGCGCGCCCTTTAGCGCCTGCGAGGTAGGCCGTCGGCACGCCCCGCAACGCACCGGTGTGGAGACGGTGGCCTACCTCGCCCCTGACGACGACGGGGGCGAGGTAGGCCACCGTCTCCACACCGGTGCGTTGCCCGACGCACTCGTGGCCTACCTCGCAGGCGCTAAAGGACGCATTGGCCGCGGAATCTTCACTTCAGAATGAAACCGCAAATCGACAGGTCTAAACGTCCCGAGATGCGCGTCCCCGTTGGATCACCCGGGGAGGCGGCCAGGCCTCAAGTTGCCCAGCAGGCAGGCGCGGGTTGGCAACCCTCGCGAAACTGCATCGTGAGGAATTTCATGTATGTACTTGACAACACTGGAGGGAATTATTCAAAGGTGAGATGTGAGAAAAACAAAACAAATGAAATGACAGGAGATTATGCATGTCACAGTCATTGCAAATGAGTGCTTAGTACTCATCTTCGTAGTAGGGGTAGGTTGGGTAAGAAAAGTACAATCGAGGTTTGGGTAAGAAAAGAACACCCGCGACCTCCGAACTAAACTACACTGAACCATCATGTTGGGAGTTTTAGAAAGATAGGTCATTCCGCTGACAAAAAATAAATTGAGCCCTCAGTTCTACATTGAATTTTTGGAATCAAACTGCACGGTTGAAAAAGACACTAAAAATGACCGTGAATTTTTTTTAAAAATTTTAAATCGTGGTACACGTATACACCCAAGCGCAATGTGCAGACCAGTACGCGACGATCCATTCGCTGGGCCATCCGGGCATTCGGGCATCCCCACGTTATGCAGACTGATAGTCGTGCTCACTGTAAAACCAAACGTGGACAACTCCACATTTGAAATGCAGAGGTGTGGAATTTTCAGTCTCCACACTTGGAAGTGCAGAGTTTGCAGCCTCCACACTTCAAACGTGGAGTTGTCCACGTTTGCTCCATGCTAAGAGATAGGGGCTTTGTGAGCTACTCCACACTTGAAGTGTGGAGGCTGCAAACTCTGCACTTCCAAGTGTGGCGACTTACTCCACACCAGGAAGTGTGGACTTGTCCACGTTTGGTTTCACAGTGTGTCGCTCTGTCTCTCCCGCACCTAAATGGGACATCCCCGTGAGAGTGAGAGAGACAGAGTGACAAAAAAGACTCTCAGTCTGCTGTGGCCGGCAGGGTGCACAGTCCGAGGAGGTGTTCCACGCTGTCGCGTCGCCAGTGTCGTGTCCTGCGTGTCCTCGAGGTGGGGGGGCCGGCCCCGGGCGGGCACGATGTGAACAGCGTGGCGGTCCCATTCATACTGTCGCTGAGCAGCTGAACAGTAACAGCGGTTGGTACAGCAGAAAGTGGCACTTCTTTACAGAAACCACCACCACATAGGGCGACACGCGCACGCGCCAACTCACGCACGCAGGCGGCGGTGGCAGGCGGAAACTCAGACGAGACTAGGCCACTCGAATAAGGTGCAGGACACCCTCGGTCCTCGTCTTCTGCGGTGCAGTGCGGTGGTTTTCGGGAGGGTGCGCGATAAGGTCCCCAAGCCCCGAACGTCCCCGTCGGGGACACGCCAGCTGGCGGGCAGGCAGGCGGGCAGGCAGTGGGGCCGCCGGGCCTCGGCGCCTCGGCCGTCGGCCGCGAGATGCAGCGAGCGCGCGCCGCGAGCCGCTCCGCGAGCCGGGCCGTGGGCCTGCCTGCCCGCCTGCTTCGCCTGCTCCGCGCGCTGCTGCTGGTGCCTGCAGTGCCGGCGCTCGGTGAGTGCGCCGTACTCGCCGTACTGCAGACTGAGCGTCATTTTCGTCACTCCGTGTCTCTCGCTCCTTTGCGGGACGCCCCGTGAGTGCGAGAGAGACTACAGGGCGACGAAAACGACTCTCAGTCTGCCGCGGGCTTAGCGAACCTCGCGGCGAGGCAGTGCCAGAGCCGTCGGTACTGCCGAGTGAAGAGGCATTTCGCCACTCCGCCTCTGTCACACTGGATGGCTCCCCGCAAGGGTGCGAGAGAGGCAGAGCGATGATGTCGCTCGGCTGAGGCGCGCCTCGTTCCGCGTCGTGCGCAGACGGGCAGATGCCAGCATCCCCCACCGCAGCCACCCGCGGAGCCGCGCCGCCCGCGCTGCCCCACAAGAGCATGCAGATCGTCGGCGGCACGGCGGCGGACATCAAGGACTTCGGCCACCAGGTGAGTGGGACGGCCTTGGGGTTGGCCTTGGGGACGGCCTTGGGGACAGCCTTGGGGACGGCCTTGGGGACGGCCTTGGGGACGGCCTTGGGGACAGCCTTGGGGACAGCCTTGGGGACGGCCTTGGGGACGGCCTTGGGGACGGCCTTGGGGACGGCCTTGGGGACAGCCTTGGGGACGGCCTTGGGGACGGCCTTGGGGACGGCCTTGGGGACGGCCTTGGGGACGGCCTTGGGGACGGCCTTGGGTCTTCCCCTGAACTTGGACGTGGCCATCACACCGCATGCACAGTGCTCTTTGAAGTGCCACCGGCCGCGCGCTGCCTGGCTGTATCGAGTTAAGGATTCTGACTAATTCTCATTTTGGCCCGTGAATGATTTTAGTATTTAAATGTTTCCAAATCAGTTCCCTTCAAGCTTCTCACTCACATCAACACTCAGAATCAGAATCAGTCAGAATGGCTCAGAATCCTTGAATTGATACAGCCCCTGTCTCCAGGTGAGCTGGTTCTACGACGGCGCGCACCGCTGCGGAGGCTCCATCTTCACCAACGAGTGGGTCCTCACGGCGGCGCACTGCTGCATCGGGTGAGTTCGCTTGCACGCGCGGAGTTTGCAGTCCCCCACACTGCCAGTGTGGGATTCTCCACGTTTGCACCACGCCAAGAGACAGGGTCTCTGTGAGCTACTCCACACTGACGAGTGGAGACTGCAAACTTGCACACGTCCGTCCAAGTGTGGAGACTTGCTCCGCACCAGGCCGAGGCGGCGGCGGCAACCACTCGAAATTTTTTTGTACACAGGATTCTTCAAAAGTGGGGATTTCTTCATGATTTCACTGGATTTCGCGTCAAAGTTATGCCAGATTTCTTGAGATTTTGGTGGGATTTTGCGAGATTTCCCCAGATTTTGATGAGATTTCGTGAGATTTCATCAGATTTCGAAGGGATTTCGCGAGATTTCCACCGATTTCGCGCAAGATTTCGGCAAATCAAGTGGACACAGGACTTGGCGAGTGGTTGCCCCCTCGTGCCAGGCAGTGCGGAGTTCTCCCCACTCGGCTTGAAAGCGCCGCCATGCTCCGCCAGGGCGTCGCCGTCGCCGCAGCACGAGCTGATCGCGGGCACGGCGCTCATCACGCCGCGGGGCCGCGCGCGCGGCCAGACGGTGGGGCTGGCCGAGATGCACGTGCACCCGCGCTTCGACGTGCACATCTACACGCACGACATCGCGCTGCTGCGCGTCACGCCCGTCTTCGTCTTCGACGCCGTGGTGCACTCCATCCCCATCATCGACCTCAGCGGGCCGCCCTTCGCCTCCGAGCCAGTCGTCATCTCCGGCTGGGGCCTGCTTAAGGTTCGCTGGGGGTGGCTCAAGTGAGGGGGCCCCCGGGAGGTGGGGGGGGGGTAGGCGGCTGTTAAGCAAAGTTGTGTGGAGAACTCCATTCTTGAAATGCGGAGGTGTGGAGGTGTGGAGGAGTGGAGGTGTGGAAGAGTGAAGGTGAGTGGAGGAGTGGAGGTGTGGACGAGTGGAGCAGTGGACGAGTGGAGGTGTGGACGAGTGGAGGTGTGGACGAGTGGAGATGTGGAGGTGAGGTAAAAGTCTCCGCACCTCAAGTGTGGAGTTCTCCACGTTTGCGCCATGCCAAGAGATAGAGGCTCTGTTCGCTTACTCTACACTTAAAGTGCGCAGACTGTAAGCTCCGCACGTCCAAGTGTGGAGAATTAATCCGCACCGGGAGGTGAGAAGTTCCCCACTCGTGATTCGATAGTAAGAAGGGTGCTGTCGCTGCATTGTAGTATCGCGCTTTCGCAGGAGTTCTCGTCCTACCACACGCCCGTCCTGCAGAAGGTGAAGGTGTTCGTCAACGACATCCACGCCTGCAGGAGCAAGTACTTGGAGGCGTCGTGGGCGCTGCCGGACACACTCATGTGCGCGTCGGCCGACCGGAAGGACGCCTGTCAAGTGAGCGAGCAGCCTCCACTATGTGAAACCAAGAGTGGGGAACTCCACACTTGAAATGCGGAGGTGTGGACTTTGCAGCCTCCGCACTTGGAAGAGCAGAGTTCGCAGTTTCCGCATTTCAAAAGTGGCGATCTCCACGTTTACACCACGCCAAGAGATAGGGACTCTGTGATCAGCCATTCTGTGAGCCACACAGTGTCGAGAGTGCAAACTCCCCACGTCCAAATGTGGATACTGCAAACTCCACACGTCCAAGTGCGGAGTACTTCTCACAATGGGGAGAGCACTGGTAAAACTGACGCGTGACACTATGCTTGACTCCAGCATAAAGTTACGCTTGAAGATGTTACGCTTGAAATGAAGCGTAGACTTGAAAACTCCCCCATGCATTTAGATAGGGGGAATCGGCGTGCACGAGCCGGTTACGCTTGATTTCAAGCGTCAACTGGTTACGCTTGAAAACTGTGGGTAATAATACACTTTAGTTCTACCAGTGTGGGGAGTTCTCCGCACTTGGTTTGGCCTGGTTTGGCTGTGCTGCTGCGCGGCTTCCTCACGGCTTGGCCGGGCTTGGCATTCCCCAGGGCGACAGCGGCGGCCCGCTCATCTACCGGCCCCCCGGCGACACGCTGGACCGCCAGGTGGGCATCGTCTCGTCGGGCATCGGCTGCGCCAGCAAGGACTTCGCCGGGCTGTACACGGACCTGCGCCACCCGGACATGCGCGCCTTCATCACCAGCGTCACGGGCTTCACGTTCTGACGGTCCGACCGACTGACCGACCGACCGGGACGTGAGGGGGCGGGTTTAAAGGGAGGGGGCAGCAGACCGTTTGCCCCCCTTCGGGCCCAGAAGTGCGCCTGGAAGTTAGAAAGAAAGCAACACTTTGCCCTTGTGAATCGGCAAAAACCCACTCTTTGCCTCTGAAAATAGGCTAAAAGCGCTCCGTCTCCCCCGTCCTTCTTAGTCTGGATCCGCCCCGTGCCGCCCCTGCCGGCTGTCGCGTCGTCAGCCCCCTTTGCTCGGAGGGCCTCCTCGCTGCGCAATGAGGAAGTTAAGGCAAAGCTCGGGACAGATGGCGCCACCACCGCGCGGGCCGCCGGGCCAGGCCTCGGCTGAGGTCTCCGGGTCTGGCCGGGCTGTCGGCACGGTATTTCTCGGAGTATTGATGAATAACTCTCTATAAAGACGTTAAGTTGACTTTCTGTGGCAAACGAGTCAGTAATTCTGTAACGAATGCATTTCATTAAGCCCCGCTAACGCTCTCGACGACGTTACTGCTTCCCCTGCTTCCCTGGCAGTGAGCCACCTGCAGTTAGTTACTTTGAGTGTCTCAATAAGTACCAACTTTTATTGGTGTTTTTCATTGACACGTGGCATAATATTTGTTGAGAATTCCAAGACCACCAAGCATCTGTATTGCATGGTAAAGTCTATTGAAATATGCTCTTATTTCTTAGTGAATATACTCACATGTGTGTTCCTAGGTCTTTAGATAGCTGCATTATACAACATTTTCTGTTTTCCTTTTGGCATCTAATTTTCTTGAAGTAAAAGCCTTATTTTGCAAACAAAAATATTGTTCTACGGCAAAAATTACCATACTTGGGTTGTCGTCCCAAATTTATGCTTGTCGAAGAATTCCGTTGAAAGATTATGTCCTTTGCTGTCCAAAAGAATACTCAAATGTTTTGTTCGACAAAATGAATGGTACAAAGTACTTACAGAAAGTTGACTAGATTGAAATCCTATTTTTAAAAGAGTTAAATGCTAAAAAGACCAATTTTTACCCCTTTTTGAGAATTTTGGTTTTCGAAAGTTTGTAAAAATTATGCCAGCGTTGTGATTGTGGTATGTGGCATGCGTATTGACCATATAAAGATCCTGGAATTTTATGGAAGGTACATATGGGAAATCAACTTGCATTTGGATTCCTTAGTAAGTAAAAATTCACAACGACAACTCAACTTTGATAACATTTGCCGTACAACAATTTTCCTCCAAAATGATGCTTGAACTAGTGTACAGCCTTAACTGAGCGACAACGCTATCTTTTTGAAGGCTGAATACCTTTTACTCAGTCGAAAGCAAAAAACTGAGCGAAACAACTAAAAGTTAACGTAAACATCCATAAATCGAAAACCATACAGAGTTGGGGCCTGTAACTTTGGGATTGAATTCATCTATTAGTGGTTGGATTTTCATCCTTCATATCAGCCCTACATCACAAACCAAAAAAAATGAAGAACATGAAAATCTTACTTTACAACAGAAACAGAATCCTAAATTTTTCTTCTTTGTTCGCAATCAAATGCACAGAATTCTATCATTTTGTGTGAATATTATAAAATTTATGTAACATAAAGAGGACCCAATTGTCTTGCTTTGGCTGACAAGCAAGCACAACACTAGCATACAGCCCAGGCTGGTCCAGGCAGTCCCGGCCCAAGCGATGGTGGCGCCACCCGTGGCCGAGTTTGGCAGTTAACTTCCTCATGCAAGCTGCGAGCTTGGCAGTGCCGGTCCTTAAGTTCAAGTTCAAGTCGCCGACCCTTCCTCAGCCCAGGCGACGTCCGCGTACGATGGGTTGCCTAGCGCCACGGCGGCCAAGACTCCCTCCCTTCCTTCTTCTTCGTCGGCAAGGACCTGCCAACTGCCACAGGCAAATCTCAACTCGCGTGCCACGTATGCGTCTCGCATCGATTTGTATTGCCCTGATTGAAGACACATTAAAGGCCGATTGAGAAAGAGACCTTGCTGACGGAGTCCGTTCCTCCACGAGCAGAAGCCCCGCAGCACGAAGGCGTTTGGGGCGGTGTTTGATGATTGATTGTGTGGCAGCCCTGGAACAGCAGACTACAAAAGTGAAAAACAAAAACATTGAAATGAACGTCTGGCTTTGACTTCAGTGGACATCAGTGACATTTAACAGTTTACGCCTGCTTTAATTAATCTGTCATTAGTTATAAATTGTCTGTTTTTCAACAACAAAAATGGCTTTTGTACTGGGTTCACCACTATTAAGGCACATAACCAAGCTGTCATCGCAGACTTGTGCCCTCAGTATCAAAGAAAATTACACAATTCAGTGCAATGTAAGTAACAGCTTGTGTGCTACTCCCCAGCTGAGAATAGCTCCAATTTTTGTGCATTTTCATTGACTGGTAGCGGACTCACTTAGCACTTGTGGCATTGTTGGCAGGGTTTGTGGAGGGTTTCCATGCCTTTCTCAACTACTACTACCGATCCGAAAGTCGACATGAAACCGAAAGAAGGAAAGATTTGTGCCTGGCAAGTCCATGCCTACGGGGGTGTGGAGGAGCTGCAACTGTCATGCTCAGTTCGGGAACCTGTGATCTCCAAACCAGATGATGTGCTGGTCAACGTATCTGCAAGCTCCGTCAATCCCATTGATGTTGCCATGATGAGTATGTTTCACTTGTCATTTTGTGCCCGGTGATGGTGGTTCTTATCTTCTTCTTATCACACATTATAAATTGATGTATGGCTGCAGATGGATATGGAGCAACACTCTTTAACAAAATACGACAGGCCATGCAAACAAAATCTAGCGAACCCAGCATTGAATTCCCCCTGACTCTAGGACGGGACTTTGCTGGTAAAGTCATTGCAGTTGGTCATAATGTCATAAATATCAAGCCAGGAGACGATGTGTGGGGTGTGATCGCACCGACAAGTCAAGGCTGTCATGCACAGAAAGTTGTACTTAGTCAAAGTAATGTAAGTATCTGACTTAAAAACCTAGGCTTCTTGCTAGATGATATTTGTGGCAGAAGTATTGATGAGGTATTGCTCAATGCGTCAGATTCGTCCCAAGCCAAAGAATTTAACCATGGAAGAAGCTTCATCCATACTATATGCAGCTGTTACTGCATGGTCTGCTCTACGAATAACTGGCGATTTGCTGGTCACTGGAGCCAGGGGAAAACGAATTCTTGTGTTGGGTGCAGCTGGTGGTGTTGGATCAGTCGCTGTTCAAATGGGAAAGGCATGGGGTGCTGCGGTAAGTTCATTTCCCACTTACACTTTGCAGCTCTGATGTAAACTTACAGATTTGAAATTGCTGTCACACAGGTAGTTGGTACATGCCGCTCAGATGCAGTTCCCCTTGTTCAATCTCTTGGAGCAGATGCTGTCATTGATTATGCATTGCCTGATAGCAATGACAGGTTGAGGTCAGAAGGACAGTAAGTATTGCTCACTTGCAAAATGACTTAATGGTATAAATAAACAACCAAATAATTAAACCAATTTCTCTCTCAGGTTTGATGTAATATTGGATGCAGCTGGTCTTGGCCCTGATGCTGGCCCATATGCGTCTTGTTTGAAGCAATGGTCAAATGCCAAGTACATAACACTTCGCAGCCCTCTGCTTAAAAATTTCGATGAGCATGGATTGGTGAGCTAATAAGATTTTTCACATTATTGAAGCTCATTTTATTATTAATATTATGATTTACTCACTGACCCTGTTGGATTTCAGGTCCTAGGGGCATTGAAAAGTGCAGCCGACCTAGTTCAACCAAATATTACAACTGGAGCTCTATCGCAAGGAGCCACAATGAGATGGGGCTTCTTCATGCCATGCAATGCCGCCTTGGATGAAATACAACTTTTAGTTGAGGCGGGAAAGGTACGCCACGCATTTACAATTTCACAGTGAATAGACAGCAAGAAAAATAATTTTTGTTCCTTCTTCTTCTCTTACAGGTATCTCCATGCATTCAGAAAGTATTCCCCTTTGCTGATCTGCCTAAAGCTTACCAGATGGTTTTGGACGGCCACTTACGTGGTAAAGTTGTAGTGTCACTTTAGTCACAGAAATATTAAAATGTTATACATCCAGAGAGGATTTGTTGCTGAATAATGAAATGTGGGAGGAACAAGGAAATTATAGAATAATATGACGCATTAAATTAAAGAAATAATGGCAAATATAAAACTGCCTCCTTATATTGTACTTTAGAAAGATGCAAAACAAAGCTTATAAAATTATCAATTATTGTAGTCTTAGACACATCACCAGGACTCAAAAGAAAAAAACAAAACAAGATAGGTAGACTATAACAGGAGTAGTCACAGCCACATCTTTGATTCAGATTCCTCCCTAATACAATTCATAGTCTTGAACACAAATTGAGAACAGACTCATGAAGAAGAAACAGAAAAAGAGAGATGATGTAGACTTGGTCTCCACCAAAAACAAAACATAAGGATAAGGAAAGTCTAAATCTCACTTTTTAGGAGTTGGGTCAGGGAAACGAAGAAAATCTTGAAGATGGGGACCATTCCGTCCAAGAGGATCATTTGGAAAAAGGATAATATCTCCAACCCATGTAAACATGAGCAACCTACAACATGAATAGCAATAACCAAATTAAGACACTATCTAGAAAGCTAAATATTTAAAATATCTCCAACCCATGTAAACATGAGCAACCTACAACATGAATAGCAATAACCAAATTAAGACACTATCTAGAAAGGTAAATATTTAAAATATCTCCAACCCATGTAAACATGAGCAACCTACAACATGAATAGCAATAACCAAATTAAGACACTATCTAGAAAGCTAAATATTTAAAATTTTAGAAAGTCTCACCTCTGTTCAATAGTCTCACGCCAGGCTTCATTCTCAGAGAGAAGATCTCTATAATTGTCAGTTGAAATAATGACTCCTCCAAGCTCAGCAGCAAGCTGCACAATGTATCTAGAAAGCCAGAGACAGCAAGCAAGAAATATAAATTCTAGCAATTGTCACTGATGAATGTTACACTTACCACAGGAATGGTGAAACACTACATAGAGAACAACTTTCCACAATGGAAATCCTTCAGCGTCATGAAAATGACGATTTGCTGCCACTACTGAGACCGAGAGATTGAGTACTAAACCTAAACCGGGCCTTCACCGGGGTTTCACTCAAGTCAGATCAGCTCTGGGCAGTTCCCTACATTCAAACTCATTTATTGCTTGAGAATCAGACTTGCCTGTCATCGTATGAAGCTACTTTACGTCCATCTTCCATGGTCCTGCTTGGAGTAAAACTAAGGATTCCTTGATTTTCAAGGTCATCCATAGCTTTTCTTTCTTCAGGGGGAACATGGAAACGGCGATATTTGGGGGCAAATGCAAAAACCTTGTGACCTCTGTCCGTGAAATACTTAATGCATATTTGTAGACCACGCACAGAGAAGGGGCCTCTGCCATGTCTGGAAAGAAAACAACACAAGTCAGGTCCACATGTTGAGATTCATAAAAGCAGATCACAGTAAGGAACTGACACGTACGCGATAGCAACATTACTGGCATCAATAACCACAGGTCTCAAGCCTGTCTTCGGGATTTCAGGATTGGGATTAAATATATTGCCACCAAACTCCTTCTTTTCCTTACTGTCAGTGGGTGAAGACTGCTTCTGCTCCGAAGAAGAATCAACTTTGCCTGATTGAACAGCATTGGATCTAAGAGCTTTTGCTTTCTTCTCTTTTTTATCATGAATTTTCTGGAACTTGGAGGTTTTACTCAAATTTTGATGTCGGTTTGAATGACTGGAAGGCCTCATACTTGAGTGAGAAGAGGAAAACAACGGTATATAATCTGGAGCTGGTCCGGACGATGTAGATGCTGCTGGGCCTTTGTTCCAATTTGGAGGCTGGTTGGAAGTTTTAGGCTTCGTTCTTTGGGGAAACAGAGGTGTGTACTCTGGGGCTGGTCCTGATGATGTAGATGCTATTGAAGTTCCTAATTTCTCCATATTCTGTCTCTTTTTTAGCTTCTTCTTCTGTTTTTTGCTGAGCATAGGTTCATTAACCACCTTTGCAGCGGTAACAACTTTACACACGGCAATGTCATCATCATCATCACTGTCTTCAATAAGCAGTGAAGGAGGCTTATTGGACTTCATCTCCTTTTCGATTATAATGTCATCATCAGAGCTCAGCTCACCACTTGCACTGCTGCTTGCCCTATCAGCACCTCTTTCACCGACTTGGCAATTAGCAATTTCTGTTCCCAACTGATTAGACACAGTAGTTTGAACATCATTTGGGGCTGATTTTTCGGTTACTTGAGCTACTCTGTTGACTTGGACCAATTCTCCTCCTGCTTTCAAGAAAGATACTATGGTAAAACTAAGCATGATCAAACACTAAAAAAATCTGCAGACCCAAAAAATTACCTTTCTCTTTGGCTTCAATATTTTGCTCTGAGACATTTGGAATTTTGGTATGAGTCACACTTTCTCTCTCTTTTTCTTTAAGCAAAAGATTTGTAAAACCACCAATTGGGCTACTATGGGACTGGTCAGTTGAATTACCAAAATCTTGAACAGGTTCAACAGAAGTTAAGACCTTTGGTTTACAGTTCTCTTTCACTACTTCGGAAAACCGACGGATCAGATCATCTCCAGGGCTACAAATATCACTTCTTTGAGTCATCTTTTCTTGATCTGGCAGTGAGATGAAAAAATTGTTTTAGCTTCACAGAATAGTTTTACAACTGTAATTAAATAGAAAGCGAACATCCAAAGTACCTGATTTGACACTTGATGGAGTTTTAGATGAGTTTACTTGCACATCCATTGCCAGATTTTTACCTAGGTTTTGACTAATGCTAGCCAAGGGAAAGCTTGAGCCTTGAGAAGTTGTTGCTTGTACATCCATGGCAAGATTTTTACCTAAATTTTGACTTATTTTACTCAAGGGGAAGCTTGAGCCTGGAGAAGTTGTCCAAGTGGGAGCACTTGGGGCTGCGTCTTCACAGACATCTAGTATCATGACAGATGAATTGGCATCATCACACTGTGATGATGTGGATGGCATATCATTTAGGACCTTAACAACAATGTTTTCTCCACCGATGGACGCTTTGGAGCTTTCAGCAACATTCCGGTTAGGTGAATGCTGAGCACTTGCACAGTCTTTTGACTGTAAAAGTACTCGCCTGAAAGTAATTTGAATGACATTAATACAGGGAAAGGTGCAAAAATTCACTTAAAATCAAAATATACGGGAAGCACACCGATCTTGGATGGATGATGAAGGTTGGGAGTTGACATTAATTATAAGATTTGATCTTTTGACAAGAGGCTCTATACCAGGTTGATTGATCACAGGTACATTTCTTGAGCTGATGGGAGAACTAACTGAAAGTGTTCTTTTGAATGATATCTTCCTGAAATTGAATGGAGTAAAGTTGGCATTAGAAACAAACATCATTTCTTCAAGAAGTCACTGTCCCTTAAACATAGTTAGACAAAAGTAAAGAGGCTAAAACATTACAAATGAAAAATAGTGCTTATGGAAGAAGTAACTACCTTCCGCCAATGGGTGATGGAGAGACAATACATATGGAATCATCAGTATCGGAAACATCAATAGTGCTATTCAAATCATTATTCATTCCCCCAGCCTCTGGTAAAATGTGTTCTTCAACAAGCATACGGCAGCGTTCAAGAAGCTCCTAAAACCACATAAACATTTAATGCAAACAGAGACTAAAAGATTGAGAGCTATGGCAAAGGCAATCAACATTCTTACCATGATAGCATTGGTTGATACATTTGGATCCTGCCTCTTCACAACAATCTCGCAAAGACCATTGGGATGTATCTGAGACTTGGCCACAGTAAATTTGGCGCGATCTTGAATTGTTTTGTTGCGTATTAACCCTTGCAATGATGTGGCAATACGTGGCCGAAGAAATATTCCAGTGTGAAATAGACCTTTACTGTCCCGCAAACGTCTGGAAGTAGGACTGTCCCTCATGGTGAACATTGCTGGGCTTCCACCTGAAACAGAAAAACAACATTGTGAAGTTCGAGAGTAAGTATCATTCACATACTGGGGAAATATATCTGGTACAGGCAACTGGGTTCTGCAGCCTATCACAACATAAACTAACTAAGTTCCAGGATCTAAGTTCCAATATGGTCAAAGTTGTACATTTTCAACGACCCAAAAAAAGAAGTTAGCACTTTCAGATGAAGAGATTGCGAAAAATGCTCAAGAAACTGCGAGGCACAGGGCATCGCGCAAGAAATGAGAATCACAATAACCACATGTTGTCCAGCATGGGCCCAGGTGCATGGTTTGAGGTTAAAGTGCTCCATAAGATGACGAAGCCACAACAAAGTCACATGACATTACAGGATAGATGAATATGATTAACGAATATGACTTTGTCTAGACAGAGACCTTAATAATGAGGATAATGAGTCGCAAGGCGAACGGTCATCATCGGTATTGAAAAACGACAGGAAGAAACAAGGGATCTGCAATTTTCACAAACGTTTTACCTTTGAAGGTAGGGCGAGACCTGTTTTTCATCACTTGATTCCCTGTTATTTTCGCGTGCGACCCTCTAACTTGCGCGCTGGAGATACTTCAAGAATTTTGTCACATAGTTTTTTGTTAAAAGCATGCGAATTGCAAACAACAGAGCAAGCACCAAAAGAAAAACACGTCGTCACGGCAAGAGGGGAGGGGGGCAGAGGGGGTAGAGTTATCGAGTTCGAGTCACCTGTTACCACAACACCACATGGTTGATAGCCACCGAACAAATCAAATTGTCCGTAATAAACATCATTTTTAAAATCTTAACAGAAATCAAATCCAAAAGGAACTAATAAGGATCATCACTGTGTGAGAAACTCAAACAGTATTTGGAAGTCACGAGGCGTTTTTCCCGTTCTTCAGTTGGCAGACCTGGTCAAACTCGCTTGCCGCCTGAATTCAAAACCCTGGAAAGGACTACGGTATTGCGACATGTTGCGAAGGTCGGGCTCAAGGCTCCGCGCGCTGCGGCCGCTGCGGCAGTCTAGCTAGAGAAGCGTAGAGAAGCGTAGAGAAGGCCAACTTCAAGGTGTCGACCGGCGATCCGGCGGCGCCGGCCGCGGGTCCACGCTTCCTGCCAGCACTTCTCGCTCCGTCTCTATCGCACTCATGGAGGGTGCCGTAAGGGTGAGAGGGTGTGGGAGGCAGAGCAAAGAGTGCGGGCAGCGGGCCCGAGCTGGCACACTGGACTAAAGAACAGGTCATGTGGCTCCGCAGCAAGGCTCCGCGGGGCTCGGTAAGGGCACAGCAACCGCGGATGGTGGCACGGAGGACTCCTGTCAGGGGCGGATCCAGATACGACCTGGGATAGTGTTCCGGATTGGGTGGGCGGTCAAAACCCGATGACTCCAGAGCGACTCTAGAACTCGGCCGGTGTATGCAGTGCCGCCAACAGACACTGTCAGCAGGCTAGCGTAGGACCTGAGCTAGCCCGTCGGCAGTGCCTACGGGCGGCACTGCATTCACCGGCCGAGTTCTAGAGTCGCTCTGGAGTCATCGGGTTTTGACCGCCCACCCAATCCGGAACACTAACCTGGGAGGGGCAAAGTAGCACTTTTTGCCTACTTACAGGGACAAAGCATAGCTTTTTGCCCACTTACAGGGACAGAGTATGGCTACTCTCCTACCTTTCAGGCGGTATCTAGGTGCTATGGGAGGGGCAAAAGGCCTGTCGCCTCCCCTTTGGATCCGCGCTTGACCCCGCCCGCTGCTGTCAATCATCCCCCGACGTTCTAGTAGCTCGCCGTGGCCAAACAAAGAGAGGATCGCAAGCCAAATCCCTCTGCGTAAGCGGGGGACCGTCACATAAAAACGACTTATTGCGTCTCTCACTACTATTTCCTGCTGCCGATTTGCTAGCGAGACTCCACCAAAAGCACTCTGTGAGAAAAAAATTACGGAAAAAGTACGGAACATGTCTGGTCAATAATTTGCCTGGACCGTCCGTACTTGCCAACTACGGAACTTCCGTACATTTTTCCGTACCCATGTACATAGGTTCATATGGAGCAAGTACGGACGTTCCGTACTTTTCTCCGTACCTCCGCGCTATATTTGTCTACCATTTCCGTACAAAAGTACGGAATTTTTCACAGTGCACCGTTTTCTCTATGGCCTGTAGCGCCTGCGAGGTATGCCAGCCACCCGGCCCGCGACACACCGCTGTGGAGACGGTGGCCTACCTTGCCCCTTGTCTTCACAGGCGCGGGGTAGGCTACCGTCTCCGCACCGGTGTGTTGAAGGCTGGGTAGCTGGCCTACCTCGCAGGCGCTATGGGGGCCTCAAATTGTGCTTTCTTGGGCTGCGTTTGGAGGAATACGACTCATTTAAATAATACAAAAACACGGGTTTTGGGGGGTTTATACAATAGTTTATTGTAATACACGGCCACGGAGATGGAGGTGGCTGTAGGGCAAGAGCACTTAATTGGCGCTCCTCCTCAAAGGCAATTTGCATTTTCAGGTTTCTAAATCTTCTCAAAATTGGACATCATTCCCTTCTTGAAGAACTCCTGAAAAAGAAATTGTCATGCATGTTGACTCCCTTCCGTTTCTTGGTCTAGTCACAAGTCACAGGTTGTACTCACGTTCTTGATCAAGCAGGCGTTGTGTTGGAACGCCACCTCACACAGGTCATCGTTCTTTTCTGTAACGGAAGGCACAATTGGTAGCTTACACTCTGCCATACAATCAAATTTATGGGATATGTTATAATATGGTGAATTTATTACAGTGAATTCAGCGCAAGCATAACGCGAAGCAATGTAGCACGAATCTTTTTTGTATTTTCATCGTAAATTGTAAAGGAAAACCCAAGAAAAACTACGATTGAATTATGCTCGCGCCAGTATATTGGCTTCACATTATGAGAAATTTCTTCTGAAGACATTTAGAGTGAAGCTGAAGGTGAGTTGGGCTCCGGAGTGGCATGCGATCATTTTCAGACCATCCTCTCAAAGTTCAAGTCCATGTTGCGATCGGGATGGAAGGCGGGTCGAACGCCTGATGAAGGCCACGCCTTGCTTTCCGCCAATAGATGGGCGGAAAAGTGCACGCCTTCAAATTACTGTGTAGGTTCCTCGAGAGGTTCCTCGAGAGGTTCCTGCACGCGCAACGTGCGAAATTAAACATACACTACGCTGCGCACAAATTTGTACGCAACAATGCACGATTTTCTGCATGCTCGCGCACGAAATCGTGCATTGTCGCACACAAATTCGTGCGTTACAAAGTGCATGTATAATTGCGTGCATTGCCGTGCAGAAAAACCTACATAGTAATTTAGTGTGTTGTTCCGTGGCCTCCGGTTCCCACTGCCGGAGACAACACAATTCAAACCTACCGTCCTTGATGCACTCGTTAACTGCGGGGAGGTACGCTTCATCTCCGTGTTCCTTCATGTACGTCTCCGCATCGATGGTGCCATCTTCCTTGAGCTGCAAGCGAAGAGGGACGTGGTTACAATGGGTAACGGGTAGCAAGAGGAAAAGCAGTGGTACGACTCTTTCCTTCAAGCGCAACCTCCAGCTCCACTGTGCAATCACGTTTGCACCATGCCACAGATGCCACTAAAGTGTGAGACAGTCTCACACTATTTAGTGCGAAGCACCGTGTCTGACGCTTGCAAACGTGAGGCACGTTTGTCCGACGCTTAAATTTGAGACACCATTTGTCTCACACTAACATGTGTGAGACATGGTTTGTCCCACACTTGCTGCCTGTAGTTTACTTTGGTTCGATGCCACCGGTCCCACGCTTGCAAGTGTAAGACAAGCCGTGTCGCACACTTGTAGGTGTGAGACAACCGGTGTCTCACACTTGCAAGCGTGGGACAAACGTGCCTCACGATAGTGAGCGTGAGACACAGTGGTTCGCATTCAATAGTGCGAGACTGTCTCACACTTGGATTGGCAGTGTGGGGGCTCTGCGAGCTACTCCGTACTTTGAAATGAACACTGCAAACTCAATACGTGCAAGTGTGGAGATTTCGCCGTAGGACATGAGGAGTTCTCCACACGTGCACTCAACAAAGACGTTTCTTGAACCAAGATAATATCCTTGTCATAAGTTAATTTTCTTTTATGTTCCAAAGAATTTTGCTTTATGGCAAGTATATTATCTTGGTTCAAGAAACTCCCTTGTTGGCCACGGTTCCACAGCGTCCTGAAAGCTTAAAAAAGAGCAAAAGATTAGGTTAGCTCTTACCATGTTGTAGGCCATCATCGCGCATTTAAAGAAGCACTGCAACAGAATAGGTTTGATGCGTCAGTACATTGCAAGCACTTAGTTCGAATGGAGCTATGATGTAAACAAATCATTCTCACTTTGTCATCTTTGGAAATTTCCTTCTCTTCAAAGAATGGCCTCAAATCATCTGAAACGACAAAGCATTCTTGAAAATTACGGAAACAAGTGCACTGTTGGAATATCTAGGCCAAGATCTAGGCAACCCTACTAGGTCAGCCGCACAATCAGCTTTCTATTCTTTTGGTCTCTGGATGCCACTAAAGTACACTACGAGAAAAAACTACAGGGAAACCTGTTAATTTTTTCACAGCGTCGCTCTGTGCCCAAAACCACAGTGATCTCCGTCTTTTAAAAGACGGAGCTCACTGTTTTTTTTGTGTTTATCTCTTTGTTGTCCGAGCGGCCAATGCCACATCGGGACGGCATGGTCAAAGCCTCACAGGTCACCGTTGTCCCCGAGGACGTCGACGGGCACCTCACAGGGTCCCCGATGGCGATGCGAGCATTTTAGACCTAGGTTCCGACCATTCGTTGAAAAGGTCTCATCAAGATCTACTCGAATCAAGAATAAAAAAATTTCCTGATTGGTCAACTGGATCTTAAAAAAAGGGGGTTGATCAAGAAATTTTTTTTATTCCTGATTCGAGTAGACCTTGATGAGACCTTTTCAACGAATGGTCGGAACCTAGGTCCAAATGCTCACATCGTTATCGGGGACCCTGTGAGGTGCCCGTCGACGTCCTCGGGGATCCAACGGTGACCTATGAGGCTTTGACCATGCCGTCCCAATGTGGCATTGGCCGCTCGGACAACAGAGAGATGAACACAAAAAACTTACAGCCATCTCCGTCTTTTAAAAGACGGAGATCACTGTGGTTTTGGGTACAGAGCGACGCTGTGAGAAAATTAACAGGATTCCCTGTAGTTTTTTTCTCGCAGTGTATGGCGTGTTTTCCTAATGCGAGTAATCGACCGGGACAGCCGTGAAAAGAGAAAACAGTCCCGTTCTGTTCGTAGAACTCGTCACAAAGTACTGCCACTCGTGTAAATTTTGTCAGAATGTCAGAAAAATGTCTGAAATCGTAATCAAAATTCGCGCGCCTCTGAAAGCTGAAATTCTGAAAACTTAATCTGATATTGATGGTTTGAGTACTACAGACTGTCAGGAGATGTTTTCAGCTTTCAGAGGTGCGCGAATTTTGATCAGGTTTTCAGACAGGTTTCTGACATTCTGACAAGATTTACACGAGTGTGAGAATCCTTCACCACTGGTTACTACCGGGAAATGTCGGACAACAAACGCACAGTACACGAACACTGTGAAACCAAGTGTGGAGGAGAACTCCACACCATATGCGGAGAGGCAGAATTTTTAGACTGCCTACTTGGAAGATCAAAGTTTTAACTACACAATTGTGGTCTCCACAGTCGAAGTGTGAAGTTCTTCTGTACGTTTGCATCCAAAGCAGTAAGTGTCAAGTTCTGCACACTTGGTTTTACAGTGTAGGACTAAGCCCCGCCGATTTTTATTCAATGGATACTAAAGGACGGGTCGAAAGGTGGTCACAAACTCACCTGCTTTAACATTTTGCTCTTCGGCGCACTTTTTCAACTTCTGGATATCCTCCTCGGAGGCGGGAGAATGGCACCACGCACACTGTGGATAGACACGCAAAAGCATGAACACACTGGTATTACAAAACTATCCCCTCGTCACTATAAAACGTCTGATTTGTTACAAATATTTCCCTGGCAACACATCGTTTTCAGACACAGCACATGTTCTGCAGCGCAACGGTATCGGCAGAAACTATCAGAATGTATCAAGACGCGCTTTCTATTGTTAAAGAAACGTTTTGTGTTTTAAAACGCAGAGTTTTGTAAAACTGAAGAATGGTTTTGTAAAACAACTTCCATGTGTTTTATTGCAATACTGATGAAACTTTCGTAATACAGAAGGCGTTGATGGTGAACGATTGAATGTGTGCCGCCTTCGGAGAGCCTTACCACCTTGAGGGCACCGAATTGACGGTAATATTTTGTACAACCTTTTTCGTACACGGTAAAAATGGTACCTGGTTTTCTCAGGGTAAAGACAGGTGGTTCTTAGGGGGTTCCTGGGAAAACCATACCGTTTTTACCGTGTGATTTGTAGAGAGTGCTCAAGATTTTATCGCCTATAGAATGGCGGTGTACAGATTTCACCGCCTATGCAACACTCTGTGTGTGTGTGTGTGTGTGTGTGTGTGTGTGTGGTCAACGGCATTGCAGTGTAAGGGAGAGGGGGGCAAATAGTGACAGATAATTTCTTTTCGGTCCTACAGGCGTCTTAATGGACATTTTCCCATTTTTTTAAAATAAAACTGAAGTATGGTATTATTTGAGTAAGAAAAGGTAGCATTCGAGTTGCCTGAGTCACACAAATCCCTTCCAAAAGCTTTTCTGGTAAACCTTGCAACTGTCACTATTTACCCCACCCTGGGGTAAATAGTGACAGCTTGGGGGTACATAGTGACACTATCAATTTCCTTTGATAAACCTCCCTTCTTGACATCACAAAATAGTTATAAAATGTTTTTAAGTGTTTTCTGAAATGTTAACCGTGCCAAATCTAAATTAAGAGGAAAAACTCAATATTTTTCTGTCAAAGAGGATACAGATGTTTAGGGGTTTCCAAATGTGAGGAGCAGCGGCTTTGCCGTTTACCATATGTTAGCAGCTGCACTTCTTGTGTACTCTCACTGACAGACAGCCCTTCCACAACGTTTGACGGCTAATATTCTTGAAGGCCCTACATCTAGTTTAGGTTAGGTCAGGTTGATCATTTTATAAAACACCCGTTTAATTTCTTTTCACAAGAAGATTGAATGTTTTGAGTATTAACATTCATATTTTGTTACTTAAAATACTTCTTTGTACTGGTAGAATGATCCTGGAGGACATGGAACAGTCACTTTTCCAGTTAATTAAGAAAAGCTAAAATTTCATATTGAGCGCAAAGTTTCTTCGACAAGAATTGAGACCAGACCTCAAAAAAATTTGTAACGCTTCACCTCAAACCTAAAATGGTCCAAACCTAACATAAAGACCAAAAAATTAACAGCCTAATAAAAAACATAAACAAAAGTCAAAAATTTGGCATATTAATTCAAAAATGCCAGTAGACGAGTGTCACTATTTACCCCCGAATTTTTGTCACTATTTACCCCATGAGACAAAGTAAACTTTGCAACTTAACCTCCTTCATCCAGATGGACTGATACATTAAATATTTGGTCGATATGACGTATTGACATGTAGAGCAAACGGAGAAACATATGATAAGCTTTCAAATATCATTAAAGACATGCTACAGGACTTCAAATATGGAAAGAAAATTTAGGTTATGCCTCGTTTCCGGAGGGTCAAATTTCACAATTTAATGACGCCCTTCCCACTTCTCTCTCTTTCACCACCTTCTCAAAACATCGTTTTGGACTTGAAACGAAGCTTATGAAAAATTTTGAGGGCAGAAATCGCGCGGGAACAGTACGAAACACGAACTGTCACTACTAGCCCCGTGTCACTATGTGCCCCACTCTCCCTTACCTGCAGGGCGAGCAGCGCGCACACCACCATGCTGAGGGCCCTCATTGCGACCGCGGAGCTCGTGGTCTCGGGGATCTGTGAGTGCACGGCGGCGGGGCCTGGGGGACGTCGCGTGGGCTGTCCAGCTGAAGACTGGAGTGATGCTCTCCGTCCATCAGTATTTATACCCCGGCCAGCGTACACCGTTAAAAATCCACTGTAATATTACAACACAATCACCTACAGTAATGCTGTTATAAAACAACAGTATTGTTTTGTGTCTGAACGGGAAACCCATCCAGAAACAGCACTTTCGTTTCATAACAATTTCCTTGTCAAGTAACAACAATGTAATCGTCATTCAAAATAGTTGTGTTGTCGTTGAACAGGTTTCATGTTTAGAAACAGCCTTTTGCAATCTTAAAACATATATTGTTGTCAGGTTACAAGTGTCTTGTTTAATAACAGCACGATGAAATCAACACAAATGTTGGGAAGACATCGTCGAAGACTCCAAAGAAGTATTGTTTTATTACAATCGAACTGTCAGAAAACAGCACCGAGGGCTACAACATGCTTGTAATAAAACAAGTCGTGCTGCTATCAAACTTAACAGCATAAGTGCTGTTAATTTACAGCACTTTTTTTAACAGTGTAGTGACCACCGTCATCGGCCACCCTTCGGACACAGCAGCATTCGCTGTCTCTCTCGGACCCCCGGGACGCCGCACGAAAAAGGTGGAACAAGGGAAACACTTATTTTCGGAATCGCTGCTGATGCCCTCGACCTTGTCCAGTGTGACGGTTGTCCGAGCGCCGGCAGCGCGCAGCATCGGCCGAGGAGAAGGGGGACACGGAGAAAACAATCAATGCAACATTCGCACGTATGTTGCGGGCATGGACTAGGCCGCGTTGGGGGCGGGGAGGAGGTTGTCCTCACCAGGAAACCCCACTCAGAAAAGCTTGCAAAGAAAAGTACTTTGCAGTACAAAGTATTCTCCGGCATTGTATTACAAACTCCCTTGCAAACTTTTTTCTTCCCATTGCAAAGAAATAGTTCGTAAGTTGCAAAGAAAAAAGTTTGCAACGTTGCGAAGCATTGGTTTGTAACGTTGCAAAGCATTTTCTTTGCAACTTGCAAAGAAATACTTCGCAATGCAAAGAAAATAGTTTGTAAGAGAGTTTGCAATACAATGCCGGAGAATACTTTGCAAGGTTTTATGAGTGCCCGTCTCTCTCGTCTCCGCCTTGCCAAACGCGGGATTTCAGCGATTGCGCCACGTTAGAGGATATTGGACCTCGGATAGCTCTGCTGCCGTTTGTGATTCGGAATGCAATTACAGCATCGTCAAATTTACGTGACTGGCCTGTTATAGAAAGATACCCAGGGGCTCCGTGAGCTACTCCACACTTATGTCAAGACTGCCAACTCCACACGCCTAAGTGTGGAGAATGACTCCACACGAGGAAGTGAGGAGTTCTCCACACTTCACTCTCTTTCCTGGAACGTGACACCACGTTCAAACGAGTGTGACAAAATGTCACGTTCGTTGGAGCATTGTGTCACATTCGTTTCGATGCAAATCAGCCATAAATTAGCTGATCCACTTCCAAACGAATGTGACAGTGCTCAAATAAACGTGACATGTTGTCACATTCGTTTGAACGAGATGTCACGTTCCAAGAATGAGAGTGTTGGTGTCACAGTGAAAAGAGGCGCTGAGGCGCACCCATCCCATTCATGCGATTATTTTTGTCCCTGTCGTGCTACGCGCGGCGATTTCGCCCATCTCGCTACGTCAGTACAGTCGCGCGGGACAGGCCGGACTGCGCCGTTTCCGAAAGAAGAGGCATTTAGGGCCGCGCAGTTCAAACCAGAACGCGGTGACCTTTCGGCACGAGTCGACAAAATCGGAGTCCTAAAGTTTAGTCGTCACCGCTTTGCAGAGTGGTGGCGGGACCACGGTCGAAGTTTTTTGGTGGTATGGGGGTGACCGTTCGCTTTTTATCTACTTTTAAGGGCAAACTGAGGCGTTACGTACATTTCGGGCTTTTAGGGCCTCCAAAAAGCACCAAAAAGCTTCAAAGCCTGCGTTATTTTTGGCACTTTAGTCACTCGAAAATTTGAGCAGGGCGTTGCGGAGACCACACTGTACACATCGAAAAGCGTAATGCTCTACCTGGAGTATGCCTGCCAACGAGGGGGCCACCACTCTCATTTCAGGCGTACACAAGATTACGGGATTACGGGATATTTACCGGGGATTACGCGTGAAATTTTCGAAAATTGGTTCGAAAACGTTGAAAAATAGCTCGAAAACGTTGGAAAATGACTAAAAAACGTTGAAAAATGACAGAATTTTGTCAAGGATTACGTGATTACGCCATGGATTACCACAGATTACCAGCAAACTTGTACACAGGATTACGGGGGTGGTGGCCCCCTCGCCTGCCAAGCATGCACTTACTACATGCCATGTTCCTGGTGCAGACAGCTCCCTATCCCTCATGCACTAAATGTATGCTTCAGTTAGCGTGAACATGGCATGAATGCACTAGTAATTGCACTGGTAAAACTAAAGCGTAACTCTATGCTTGAGTCAAGCATAACGTTACGTCTTAAGACGTTACGATTCAAATGAAGCATACTCTGGAAACTCCCCCATGCATTTAGATAGGGGTAATCTTGGCCGATGAGCCTGTTACGCTTGATTTCAAGCGTGAACAGATTACGCTTGAAAACAGACGGTAATACTACGCTTTAGTTTTACCAGTGTGGATGCTCGGCAGGCATGCGCTAGCTAGATCGTGCTTTCAGGCATGCTCCAGGTACAGGCAACAATGTACGCTTTTCGATTTTTAGAGCACTCTAAAAAGCTTGCAAAGAAAAGCTCTTTGCAGCACAAAGTATTCTCCGACTTTGTAATACGAACTCCCTTGTGAACTTTTTTCTTCGCATAGTTCGTAAGTTGCGGAGGAAAAAGTATGCAACGTTGCGAGGCATTTGTTTGTAACGTTGCAAAGCATTTTCTTTGCAAGTTGCAAAGAAAATAGTTCTAGGAGAGTTTACAATACAATGCCGGAGAATACTTTGCAAGGTTTTTTGGGTGCGCTGGCAGAGCTTTCCGAGGTCCAATATCCTCTAAGAGCAATCGCTGGAATCCCGCGTTTCGCAACGCGGAGACGAGAGAGACGGGGTTTCACTGGTAAAACTGGAGCGTAGTTGCATGCTTCATTCAAGCATACAACTACGCCTGAAGACTTTACGCTTGACGTCAAGCGTAGAGAAGAAATCCTCCCATGCATTTAGATAGGCGGGAGAGGGGCGAAATAGAGAACTACGCTTGAAGCCGAGCGTAGTTCTACGTAGTACTTACGCTTGAAGAAAGGCGTAAAAGTACGCTTGATTTCTACCAGTGTTCCTGGTGAGGACAACCTCCTCCCCGCCCCCAACGCGGCCTAGTCCATGCCCGCAACATACGTGCGAATGTTGCATCGTTTGTTTTCTCCGTGTCCCCCTTCTCCTCGGCCGATGCTGCGCGCTGCCGGCGCTCGGACAACCGTCACACTGGACAAGGTCGAGGGCATCAGCAGCGATTCCGAAAATAAGTGTTTCCCTTGTTCCACCTTTTTCGTGCGGCGTCCCGGTGGGGTCCGAGAGAGACAGCGAATGCTGCTGTGTCCGAAGGGTGGCCGATGACGGTGGTCACTACGCTGGCCGGGGTATAAATACTGATGGACGGAGAGCATCACTCCAGTCTTCAGCTGGACAGCCCACGCGACGTCCCCCAGGCCCCGCCGCCGTGCACTCCCAGATCCCCGAGACCACGAGCTCCGCGGTCGCAATGAGGGCCCTCAGCATGGTGGTGTGCGCGCTGCTCGCCCTGCAGGTACACTGCAATGCCGTTGACGGCACACACACACACACACACACACACGCGCGCGCGCGCGCGCGGAATAGCATAGGCGGTGAAATCTGTACACCGCCATTCTGGCGGAAAATATGGAGCACTCTCTACAAATCATACACGGTAAAAACGGTATGGTTTTCCCAGGAACCCCCTAAGAATCGAATGTCTTTACCATAGGCTTCCTGGGAAAACCAGGTACCATTTTTACCGTGTACGAAAAAGGTTGTACAAAATATTACCATCAATTCGGTGCCCTCAAGGTGGTAAAGCTCTCCGAAGGCGGCACACATTCAATCGTTCACCATCAACGCCTTCTGTTACGAAAGTTTCATCAGTATTGCAATAAAACACATGGAAGTTGTTTTACAAAACCAATCTTTAGTTTTCTAACTCTGTGCTTACACGAAACCTTTCTTTGCACATGAAAGAAAGCGCGTCTTGACATATTCCGATAGTTTCTGCTGATGTCTTTGTACTGTACAGTCTCTTATAATGTGGTGTTGCCTGGAAAAGTTTTGTTACAAATTAGACTTTTCAGTAACCAGGCAATAATTTCGTATTACCAGTGTACTCGAGTGTACTGGGTTTTCTTCTGATACAAAAAAAAGTTTTGTAATACAAGACGTGTACTGACATTTGCTCTGTAGTTTTAAGAAACACATGTGGTTCATGCTTATGCGTGTACTTTCTATCCACAGGTTGAGAGGTGCCATTCTTCCGCCTCCGAGGAGGCTATCCAGAAGGTAAAAAAGTGCGCCGAAGAGCAAAATATTAAAGCAGGTGTGTTTGTGGCCTCTGCCGTCCCGTGGTATCCATTGAATAAAAATCGGAGGTGCTTAGTCCTACACTGTCAAAGCAAGTGTGCAGAATTCCACACTTACTGCTTTGGACGCAAACGTACAGAAGAACTCCACTCTTTGACTGTGGAGACCACAAACTCTGATCTTCCAAGTAGGCAGTCTAAAAAATCGCGTGAGCAGATCACAGTAAATGCTGTGAATTGCCCTACAGTGAAAACTGGTAATAAATTAACGGCATTGACAGGACATTTTTGGCCCGTCCCGTTTATTTTTTTGTAAAAAAATGACGGAGGGACGGGCATATAGTATGATGCATGCTGTGCGTCCGTTCGTTCGTCCGTTCGTTCGTCCGTTCGTTCGTCCGTTCGTTCGTCCGTTCGTTCGTCCGAGGACTTCCCGTGGTCCGATCTTGACCAAATTTGGTATGCAGCCTCCTTGGGTGACCCTAAGAACCGCCCGGTGGCAGCAAATCCGATCCGAGCCCCGGGGGCGCTGCTGCAGGTGCATCATGGTCTACATGGGGTCGAGGAGGATTTCGGCAACGGATACAGCTAGCAGGGCATGTAGGGGTATTTTTGGAATCGGGGCGACGAGACAAAACCAATGGTGCCAGTTTCAAGCGAATCGAAGAAGTTTGGACCCGGGTTCAAATCCCAGTGGGGTATATTTTGAACATTCTTTTTATTCGAGTTTTTGCATTGTTTCTTATGTTTTTGAGGGCGCTGATGACGGAAATAACATCCATTTTGACCCCAGACTCAGGTTCAAACCCGTCAGGGCTAAACAAAGGCGAAATTCACACATTTGTTAATGTACGGGACGGGCCAAAGTTGCCGATGTATATCGCTACTTTTCCTGTTATTGGTAGAGTGTATAGATCTTGGTCTAGATACTCCAACAGTGCACTTGTTTCCGTAATTTTCAAGAACGCTTTGTCGTTTCAGATGATATCAGGCCCTTTTTTGAAGAGAAGGAAATTTCCAAAAATGCCAAAGTGAGAATGATTTGTTTACATCATATCTCGGTTCGTACTAAGAGCTTGCAATATATTGACGGAACAAACCCTTTCTGTTGCAGTGCTTCTTTAAATGCATGATGACGACCTTCAACTTGGTAAGAACTAACCTTATCCATTGCTCTTTTTCAAACCATCAGGACGCTGTGAAACCACGCAAGGCGTTTCTTGAAGGAAGATATTTGCCATAAAGCGAAATTCCTTGGAACATAAAAGATAATTAACTTATGACAAGGATATTATCCTGGTTCAAGAAACGCCTTTGTTGAGTGCACGTGTGGGGAACTCCACATACGGCGACGTAATTCTCCACACTTGCGCGTATTGAGTTTGCAGTGTCCATCTTAAGTGCTGAGTAGCTCACAGAGCCCCCATCTCTGCCATATGGTGCCAACGTGATTGCACAGTGGAGCCGGAGGTTACGCTTGAAGGAAAGCGTCATACGCTTTTCCACCTGTTTTCCACTGGTTTTCCTCCTGCCACCCGTAACCCACTGTAACCACGCCCCTCTTCGCTTGCAGCTCAGGGAAGATGGCACCATCTATGCCGAGCCAGCAATCATGGAGTGCCTCAAGGACGGTAGGTTTGAATTTGGTTGACTCCAGCAGTGGGAACCAGAGGCCACGAAACAAGGCATGCACTTTTCCACCCACTCTAAATGTCTTACAATGAAATTTGACCTATGTTATTCGTATGTTACAGTGAATTCGGCGCAAGCATAATACAAAGCAATATTGCTTCGTAATACGAATCTTTTAAGCTTTTTCATTGTAAGATACAAAGAAAAACCTTCGTAATACGAAGAAAAACCACCTTCGTATTATGCTTGCGCCATTTTCTTCGTATTATGGGAAATTTCTTCGTAAGACATTTAGAGTGCCCATCTATTGGCGGAAAGTAAGGCACCTGGACTTCCTCAGGCGTTCGACCCGCCTTCTATCCCAATCGCAGTATGGACTTGAACTTTGAAAGGCTGGTCCGAAAATGATCGCATGCCACTCCGGAGCCCAACTCACCTTCAGCTTCACTCTAATGCCTTCAGAAGAAATTTCTCATAATGTGAAGGCAATGTCGTGAGCATAATACTCTACAAATCGAAGAGTGTACATGGTATGCTCTAACTGGAGCATGCCTGCAAGCACGCTCTAGCTAGCGCATGCCTGCCAGGCATGCACTAACTAGTGCATACATGCCATGTACACGCTAACTGAAGCATGCATCTAGTGCATAAGGGATAGGGAGTTGTCTGCATCAGGAAGCGTGTACATGGCATGTATGCGCTAGTAAGTGCATGCTTGGTAGGCATGCGCTAGTTAGAGCGTGCTTGCAGGCATGCTCCAGTTAGAGCATACCATGTACACTCTTCGATTTGTAGAGTACAAACGTAGTTTTTCTTGGGGTTTTCTTTACATTTTACGATGAAAATACAAAACAGATTCGTGCTACATTGCTTCGCATTATGCTTGCGCTGAATTCACTGTAATAAGTTCACCACATAACATATTTCAAATTTCATTGTATTACAGAGTGTAAGCGAAACCAATTGTGCGTTCCGTTACAGAAAAGAACGACGACCTGTGTGAGGTGGCGTTCCATTACGAAGCCTGCTTGGTCAAGACAGACAAAGACGTGAGTACAACCTGTGACTAGACCAGGAAACTGAAGGAGGTCAACATGCATGACAATTTTTTTTTTAGGAGTCATTCAAGAGGGAACTGATGTCCATTTTGGAGATGATTTAGAAACCTGAAAATGCAGATTGCCTTCGAAGACAAGCGCCAATCAAGTCCTCATGCCCTACAGCCACCTCCACCTCCGCGGCCGTGCATTATAATAAACTATTGTCTGAACCCCCAAAACCCCTCCTTTTGCTATTTAGTTGTATTCCTTCAGACCAAGAAAAAGCAAAGGATTAACTATTTGTGTGCACAATACACACAACGCAAAAACGCAACAACGCAAAAAAACTCAATGTTTTGGACATTCAAGAGGATTCGAACATAACACCTTCTAGGAACTTCCGAAGGTTTTTCAGAACGACACAATTAAAATATCACTTTCTCGTAGACACCAACGAATGTAACTTCACTCTCATTCCAGGAACGTGACATCACGTTGAAACGAACGTGACAAAGTGTCACGTTCGTTTGAGCATTGTGTCACGTTCGTTTGAATGTGAACAAGCTGATTTTTGGCCAATTCACACCCAAACGAATGTGACACAATGCTCAAACGAACGTGACATTTTGTCACGTTCGTTTCAACGTGATGTCACGTTCCTGGAATGAGAGTGTTATTGACTTTCCATGAGACATGCACCAGACATGCAGCCATAGGTCAAACTGCATGTTTTCAAAACATGTATGATGGTACGAAATTCACATAATGCAGGATCACGGGTGTCAGCTGAGCTAAACCTACATTGGGAGAAAAAGAATATTCGTCGAAATGTTACTTTGTAAATGTCTTACGGTGAAAGGCTGCACCAACATATTTATTACAGTGGAGATTTTGTCCATAATACAGTGCTCCCTCCTTCTAAGCTGATTTTTCCTCCAGCCTGATTTTTTTATTTTCGCTGTGTACCCTCGACCCTCGGCGAGCTCGCCGTCTGACAGGGGTTTGACGAGTGCAGCCATAAACCCGGACGGTCACCAAAACGTCGGACCATCGTATGGACCGAAAGGTGCCTCCACAATGGGAAGCGGGTAGCACGGCGAGCCCGGCAAGAGTCGTGGTCGGCATCGGGCCTCAACGCGATCGCTTTTATTGGCCTCTCGGTGCGCGAGCTCGACCCTCGCCGTCCCTTGCAACACGTGTTCAACTGTTTCTTCTGTTCTCTCCAACCTGGACCTGTCCCCCGAATCCTCAGCTTGGAGGAAGGGAGCACTGTACCAACGAAATTCGTCAAAATATCGGTAAGGTACAGTGAATTCATCATCATCAATTCAATCATCAATTCAATCAATTCAATTCATCAATCAATCAATCATCAATTCAAGAACCTATATAGCCCCAATCCGACTGACTGACTGACTCACTCACTCACTCATAGAATTGTTTGGGGTCAAGGAGTGGTCGTAGAGGCTTGCGGTTTTCTCCATTCAATTCCAAATTTTATGGGAAAATGAGAAAAAATCCCAAAAGTTTAAAATTCCTCACCGTTTTCGAGCAAACCTACTCAATCTTCGAAAAAGGGGACCGATCGACTGAAAATTTTTATGCGCCCTATCGGTAGGTCTGATCGAGACGGTGCACAGTGGGCTGAGGGAGCGAAATGTGACATTTAATTCGACTGTGGCCGAACGGATTGTGCTACAGCAGTCAAACCAGTACCAATCGATTCGTCTTGAGCCGCTCTATCGATCTGACTATGTGTCTAAATTTTCAGAGGACGGGTTTCATCAAATAAGACCAAAAAGTGTTCATAAATTTATTTTAACACCACATTATTAACTTGGTAGCCAAGGACAAGTCAAAATAAGTTCATCGCAAGGAAAAAAATAAAAACAAAATGAAATCAACAAAAAAGTAAATAATAACAACAAAAGTAATTTGGTACAGCTCCAGGCGAGAAACTTGGGTCATGTCCTAGCTACCCTACAAAACAGTAACATCCCATGTAAAATTTGTCGAACAGGAAGTGCAAGGCTAATAGAATCCCCACAAGTCTCCACCCTCACCCCCAAACTCCTGCGTAACATGCGTAATATCCGTAACAACCGTAACAGCCTGAAATTTTTTTAAAAAGTCCGTGTTTCTAACTTCGTGTTTTCTAACCTTTTTGCCGATTTCAGACAAACTTTTAGGTGTTTACAGTGGGTTACACATGCCATCGCTAGACACACTAAGATAAACTCAACCACAGCACTGCACAGAAAGTTTAAACTTGTCTAATGAAACTTGTCTGATGCGATGGCAGAGCGAGTACGCACGGATATGTCTCACGTAAACACTCAAACATACCTGTCCAGTGTCCAGTCCAGTCACTGCATGCAAATCTTATACCCTAGAAACTTGCAGAGATATGCGCGCGTGACTTCCTGATTTTTGCGGCGACGCGGTGGCAGTGGCGCGCGCAAGCAGCAGCGTCAACAGCGCCACCTGTCGTTGCGGCGGCGCGGCGAAATGACGAACAGAGCTAGCTTTCGACGCGTCGCAATCCGAGAGGAGCCTCGATGAGCCTTTGATAGAATTTGGATCTTGTAGAGGAAGGTCCAAGGAACATTTTGGCGTATAGATCTCTTTCGGGACACGAAGGAGTCGCTTTGAAACTCAAATTGAATATTGGGAATAAATGAAAATTCGCATATTTACCTAAATTTATAAATATGTGTCTTCTCACGCCACCAAGGCCAAAATGAGTCCACATTCTGTCTTCATCTCGAGTTGCATACCCAAACAATAGATTCTGCCGAAAACCGGGATAAAAAATTTGCCCTGGCTGGTCGGAAAGGGGTTTGGGGAATGTGCAATTTTTGTGCTCCGCGGCACTAGCTCGGTAACCGTAAAAAACCAAGTTTTCGCGGGTAGTTTTCACTGTGATACGGCTAGGTTTTTTGGGCTGGCATGTCCATTTTCTTCAAGAGTGGACCTTTCTGAACATTAACTCACACACAGCCAATCCAAAAAACGATTTTGAAAAAATGGTATTAAATGTCGTTTTTACGGATCTCAGCCCACTGTGCGGTGCCGCAATCGGGTCCCCGTCACCGGCAATGAGGTAAAATCGATAAAATATATTGCGTCTTAAACCTGGCCGGAAAAATCTGAAGAAATCGGAAATGAAAGACGCAAAAGAGGCCCATTAGTTTGGCCTTCGGTCACATTGACAATAATGAACACAGATCTCATCCTTGCCAAAGCAGTCTTCAAATATTTCCGGACCTTGTATGCACCCATGGACTGCCACAGTAACCAATGCAATACAAGCTATCTATTTGGGCAGTAACAGTAGCTATATGGTCAAAAACAGTAAAATAGACCCCCCCCCCCCAAAAGAGCAGTGCTTTTACTTCCTTAGAAAATTTGTCTGTGGTCACCCCGGACTTACTTAAAATACTTCGGTACGCGCCCCACAAATGCGGGGGTCTGGGGGCAGCCCCCAGCGAGCGTCGCGAGTCTCAATACTATGTTGCGAAGTCAGCTACACCACCATAATATGGAACATTTTCACCATAATATGGAGAATCATCACTGTACAACATTTAGTGTACCTAAGTGCAGCGTTTGCAGACTGTAATCTCCTCAGTTTGTGCGGAGTTCTCCACGCCGCCAGGGGCTCTGTGAGCTACTCCAGTCTCTACTCTAGAAGTATGGAAACTGCGAACTCCCCACCGTCCAAGTTTGGGGAGTAACTCCGCACCGGGTACGGCCGAGTACTCCAAACTTGGGTAGTTATGTTATGTAACTCGCATTTGGTAAACAGCGTCATTGATTCTGTAAATCGCCGCTAGGGCGTGCCTTTGTTCTGCTCTGAGCTGAAGCTCGCTACTGCTATTAATCTGTCGCCAAGCCTCGCTGGAAATACACCTGTTCCGCTACCAAAGTCTCCGTGTTCCTTTAATTTCACCACGACGAAACTACCACAACATCACTGAAAATCAAAACGTGGTCCAGAGCGCACCACTGGTGTGGTCAGATGGGTGCCCACATCAGTTGGTGTGGTCTAGACCACGTTTAGCCACGTTTGGTGCGGTCTAGACCACGTTTGGTGTGGTCTAGACCACACCAACTGATGTGGTCAAAATAGCACCCATTTGACCACACCAGTTGGTGCGGTCTAGACCACGTTTGATTTTTCAGTGATCACAACGACGAAACTACAACAGGATTGACAGTGCCGTCTCATGATCGTGTCACCTCATGTGTCTGGAGCTTCACTGCAATGTTGTCGCTCTGTGGTAGGGATGTGCGAATAGTTCAGTACCGAATCAGGGCTGATTCGATTCGGGGACGGATCTCTTTGCTTCGACCCCGAATATTCGAAATTTTCGAATCGACCGTGGTTCATCTTCGAATCGGTTGCTCGGGAACGGTTGAAAGTCGCGCGCAAAGCGTTGTTTTTAAACCAAAGCAAGATCAGATATTTAATTTTTCTTTTTTTGGTATTCCTATTCTATACCCTTCCTTTGTCACAGAAAATGTGTTTTGAAACGCACTATTTTTTTTTTAGTTTCAGTTTGAATTCGATTCGATTTTGAAGCTTTAAAAGTTTGATTCGATTCGACAAATTTTTTCAGATTCGATTCGAGTTCGATTCGAAACTTTTTCAAAAGATTCGATTCGAAATGAAAATCCTTGATTCGCACATCCCTACTCTGTGGTGACTTACCGTACACTTGCCGGCCAAAATGAATGGCCTCGTGTTTTGGACCCACGACCAATTTCCCCCGCGGTCCCTGTGCTTCTGGCGGCCGCTGAGTTTGACAAGGACGAAAGCGTGCGTCTCTCTCGCACTCATGGGGCGCCTCGCAGGAGCGCGAGAGAGACAGCGCAGAGCGGGGTGTTTATGGTGTCACGGGAATGTCGCTGCCGCTCACGATGACGTCACTGCGAAGCGCTGCTGCATTCCGAGAGTCCTTTTCGTCGCTCTGTCTCTCTCGCACTCATGGGGCGTATCGTACAGGTGCGGGAGAGACAGAGCGATGGAAACGACGCGCTCGGAATCAGTCTACGGAGCGACGAAGCGTGCCGTCGCCTCTCTCTCTCTCTCTCTCTCTCTCTCTCTCTCTCTCTCTCTCTCTCTCACACACACACAACTCAACGAGACGAGCCACGTGCGCGAGAAAGACAGAGCGACGGAAGGACTGTTCGAAATCAGCCCGCAGGACGGCGGGGTATAAAACCTGTGGGCGCTGGTTCAAGTGCATCAGTCCATTGTGGAGCGCGCTGCCCCGCCTCCGACGCGCACCTCAAGATTCCTTTGAAGTCCCCACCCCCACGATGAAGGCCTTCTGTGTGGCGCTGTGCGTGCTGCTCGCCCTGGAGGTACAAACAAACGCCCTGACAGTGTGTTGACGATTGACGCGACCCCTGGATCGACGTGTTCATGCTTTAGAAACAAAATGTTTATGTACTTTAATTGTCCATATTTGTGCACACTAAATTCTAATGGACTTTTTAAATGCATAATGATGCATTTTTTATGCATAGTTATGCATGCGCAGAAACGTCCATAAGGTATGTATAAAATTATGCATCACTGTGTACATTTTATGCATCTTCCTGCATAAAATGTACACAGTGATGCATAATATTATACAGAACATATGGACGTATCTGCGCATGCATATTTATGCATAAAAAAGTCCATAAGAGTTTAGTGTGTGTGCATTTGTAAGATAATTTACTTCATAAACCAGGGAATATATTTCCATATCAGGGTTAAGTATTTATCAAAATGTATCTACACTCTGAGACTCCGTTCTGAGTTTTTGTGTACAATAACGTACTGAAGTGTGTGCGCATTAATGGGCGTATTCGCCTTTTTTTTGTTTTATAAACATTTTAGTCACTTTCGTCTTGACAAATCTGTTCAGCTTTTGAACAAAATTCTATTTATGCGCACAAACGTCAATGAATATTGATAAAGTTTCGATTGAAGGATGAGAGAGTAATTTATGTACAACTTCAACCTCGCTGTTAAAAAAAAGTATGAAAATCCAGACTTTTGACCCGGACCACGGTTCCAACTCCGTTGAAGTAAAAATTGACCAGCATTCTTTGATATTAAAAATGCACGTTTTATAGTTTTTGGAGAATTTTCTTAGGTAACCACTGATTATCAGTAATCGTGTGTGCACTTTTGAGCTAGGTGTTGGACCCCTAGCGTACGTTATTTAAGATAATTTCAGAGACTTTTATTCACTAAATAATATATTACAATGTCAACATTTAAATTACAAATCATTTTACTGAGAAGATTCCCGCGCTTTTAGGATCAATCCTCTTGTCTGGTTTCACCGGTTCGACCTCACGAAGATAGTTGGACATGAGGGAGATGATCGGTTGCAGCCAAACAGCTATACTCCAGCAAAAGAGCAAAATTATTTTTCTTGGTTTTATTGTGGGAATAATTACTGCACCAGGCGCAAATTTCTTGTACGCAGGCCGCGTGGTGTCATCCTGCGTCTGAGAAGGAGATGGAGGTCCTGAGGAAGTGCGCCGCGGAGAACAGTGTTAAGTACGGTGAGTAAGCACGGAGTACCACTGCGAGCCAAAACCGAGGGGGTAACGACTTCGGGAATCCGGCTGACAGCACCGTAATCCGGATGACCCGAAATTTTGAGGTAATCCGGGGTGATCCGGGAAAATTTTGAGGTAATCCGGGGTAATCCTGCTAAATCCAAAGGTAATCCAGGAATTTTTTTTGTTGTAATCCGGAGGTAATTCGGGGGTAATCCGGGGTAATCCGTAATCCGGCTGACACGAAATTTACCAGTCGTTACCCCCTCGGCTAAAACAGCTTCACGGCCATCTATAATCTATCAGCACATCATTTGGCTGAATCAACTTAGACAAAAGTGCCAAGTATTAGTTCCAGTCAATAAATGACCGTGATGCTTACGGCCATCTGCGACCGACCTTACACAACGCTCGTCTACAACAACCGATCGCGCTCTCATCCCTCAATCGACACTTCATCAATATTCATTGACGTTTGTGCGCACTAATAGAGTTTCGTTAAGAAGCAGCTTAACGGATTCGTCAAGAATAAATTGATAGTAATGTTTGTAAAACAAATTAAAATGTGTCGATTAATGCGCACAAATGTCAATCGTTAAACAAAAACTGAGAGTGTGAACGCCACATCACTAGCAGCGCCCAATGCACCAACACCTTTTAGGCGCATTCAATGCGACTGTGCGCATCAAATGCGCCTTAATGCGTGCAAATGCAAATTCAAGACAACTAAAGTGTGTTACCTTTTATTTCAAAGAGCATCACCGCTTTAAATGCGCTTTGATGCACATTGGCGCTGTGGGGGATTCGTCAGAACTGAAGCCTGTATGAGGCACAATTTTGCCTCCTCCCACTCGAAAGACTAACAGTGATCTGTCTGCAGAACGAACAATGACCAAGTTTGCTTGCCATTCCAGACGACCTCAAAGCCTTCCTAGACGACAAGGACGTTACACTCTAAGAAAAAATGACGGTAAATCCTGGATAATTTTTTTGCCAAACTTTACCGTACTTCAAAAACCAGTATCCACCGTACAGTCTACAGTATTTACCGTACTTGTTTTACAAAATATTCCGTAGTTTTTTAACAGAAGTTACCGTTCTTTCGTACAGACCATGCCGTAGGAAGGACTAGATCTGGTCACAACAAAGGCCGCTCCCAAGAATTGTCCACATCAGGATTTTGAAAAAAGGGGGTCGACCGACTGAAAAATTTTATTGCACCTTTCGATAGGTCTCGTCAAGACCTTTTCAACGAGTGGTCGGAAGGGGGGTCCAGGAGTCCGACTTCAGCAGTTACGTACATCAGGATCTTGAAAACGAGGGTCGACCGACTGAAAAACATTATAGCAGTTTTTGATAGGTATCAAAAGTACGGGATTGCCGGGTAAAAAAGTACGGGATTCCCTGTAAAAAAAGTACGGCGTTGCCTGTAAAATAAGTACGGTATTGCCTGTAAAAAAACGACGGTATTGCCTGTTAAAAAAAGTACGGTGAAGTCTGGAGTAATCAGTACAGGATTTACCGTGATCTTTTCTCGCAGTGTACCAAGGACGCGAAAGTGAGAGAAAAATTTCCTTACTTCAGGGCCCTGTTGTGGCGTGCGAGATATTGATGAGACGAACTTTCCTGTTGCAGTGCTTCATGAAGTGCACGATGTTGGCCTTCGGGACGGTAAGATGAAGATGATTGTAGCTACAAAATATTGTGCCAGAGATCAAATTTAGAATGTTTCAATGGCAAATATTGAATGCAAATATCCATAATGTTGTAAATCTGCAACTTAGGCCTACATGTAGTCCCACATGTAGACCTAAGTTCACTGCAAATCCGGCGACAAGTTGGCTTGCCACGAAATTGGCAATCAGTTCACTGTGGGAAAAAATCACAGTAAATCCTGTAGTGATTAGTACAGCTGTCACTGTAGTTCAGAGTACAGGATTTACTGTACTTTTTTACATGATCTACTGTACTTTGTACGGGATTTACTGTATCACAGGAGTGGACTACGGAATATCCTGTACCAGGTACAGTAAATACTGTAGCCAGGCACAGTAAATCCTGTGTTCTGAACTACTGTAAATCCCGGCATGAAAATTAACGGGATTCACTGTGGTTTTTTTTTTTGGACAGTGTTGGCATCGGTTTGTCAACATTTGACGCTCCGACAGCCTGCACGGGCAAATTTTGCCACGCTGCGCAGTATTTCAAAGCCAAGCTAAACAAGCTTGTGAAGATCTTGTAAATTTTTGTTGGTAATTTTATAACAAAATATAGCAAAAAAACATTTTTTTAATTGCAGTAAAAAATAATTGCTAACACTGAGTAATGTACCTTATACTAGTGTGTGAGTGTGATACGGTTTACCGAGAGGGTAACGACTTCGGGAATCCGGCTGACAGCAAATTGGTAATCCGTAATCCGGATGACCCAACATTTTGAGGTGATCCGGGGTAGGGAAAATTTTGAGGTAATCCGGGTTCGGGGTAATCCTGCGAAATCCAAAGGTAATGCAGGAAAATTTTTGTTGTAATCCGGAAGTAATCCGGGTAATCCATAATCCGGCTGACACGAAAGTTACCAGTCGTTACCCCCCCCCCCCCCCCCGCGGCTTCCCCTTCCGTGAAGGTAAAACAAGAGTGTAAGTCGTGACAGATGGACGCAATAAGTTCAACCCATAACACTACTTACTTTTCGCTTGCAGCTCAGCGAAGACGGCACCATCCAAGCTGACGACCATTTTAAGGAATCTGGTCACGAAGAGCTCGCGGCCATCGCCGCGGCGTGTACGAAGATCGGTAAGCTTCATTCGTAACTCTGAGAACGGTCATGGGGAGGGGGGGGGCGTCAAAGTGGCGTCCATGCAAGACGTTGATTGTTATGAGGAAAAAGGATCTCTTAGTTCAGCGGTTCCCAACCTTTTTCGGCTTGCGACCCAAAAATGGCTGCCAAAAATTTCCGCGACCCCACAGCCGAAATGTCGCGACCCAACGCGACCCATGACTCTCAACCCCTCCCCCCCAAAAAAATATTTTTAAATAATTTTTTAATTGCTTTTTTTAAAGCTTTATGTTCGGTATTTTGCGTCCCCACCACGCGTAGATCTCCTTCGTAGATTCAGACAGGTATGTTGTAACGAAGGGCAGTAGGACACGTACGGCCCACTTGCGGATACGTACCCGCCATGCCTCGGCCGCGAGGGGTAAATCGCTAGTGTACTCATGTGTACAAATTTGTCCGTACTCAGTGTACTCACAAGTTTAAAAAGGGCGAAATTCTCTAGTTTTTCGACCGATTTGACGTTGAGTGCCTTTAAAAAACACTAAATAAAGCCTTAAAACGTTTTAAATTGTGAAATTTATGAGTAAAGCAAGGTGTACTCACCCGTACTCACGTACTCATGTGTACACCAGAACGCTGAGTGATTCACCCCTCGCTCGGCCGTCCCAAGCACCAGCAGGCCACACGAGCCGCCGCCCCTGCGGCCTTTCTGCAAGCAACTGTACTCAACAACTGATGTCAAGGGCCCCTTTTCCGTGTAAATCTATCTTCCCCTTTTAGCCGTAACAGATGCTAAGACGCATCCCACTGCCAAGGCAGACGCAAACAACTCTAGGATAAGCCTTCGTGGAAGCGCCAATACCGCAGGCTGCCGGGGGCCACCGGCGACCCAGGTATACGCTTCGCGACCCAATGCGACCCCCGCCACCGCGCCGCGACCCAAAAACAATTTCCGCGACCCAAAATGGGGTCGCGACCCCAAGGTTGGGAACCGCTGTCTTAGTTTCATGACTTTTAGACAATACCCGTCAGTCGGACATCGATTTGAAGCTCGGACTCGTTCATTCCGTTTCAGAGAAGAACGACGATCTATGCGAGTTAGCCCACCAGCATGGCTTACGCATGCTCAAACAGGATGCCGATGTAAGTACACTGTGAGAGTGAGTTCGAAACGAGTACAGGGCCAAGATGCGTAAAGTTTTCCCTTTTCAGGGCAAGATGAAGGAGCACATGCTGGAGACTTTGGAGAACTTGTAGACACCCGACAGCCCAGCCTGCCCGTCAGAGAAGAGGACTGTCGGCCTGGCAGCCGGCTCCACCTGCTCCGCAACGTCTCCGTGGCCTCGCCGGTGCATTTGGACTTCTGATTTATTTATCATGTCCCATCGACTAATATTTAGGAATAATAAAATACCAATGGAGCAGACTTGGAAGCAGCAAAAATACACGTCTTTTGAGAACTCCCTGGCTCTGGAAAAGCCTCACCTCCAGGGAATAAGTAAATATCGCTTGAGAGACATCATTTATTGATTGACCCAAGTGATTCGTTCAGTGTCCCTTCTTCTTATCCCCCCCCCTCCCCGTGGTGCTGGCCTACGCTGTTCTTCGCAGTCAACATGCTATTCACACTTAACATGTTATTCGCACGTCAACATGTTATTCGCACTCTACAGGTTAGGGCGCATAAGCAACCAACAAAAGCAAAACAACAAAAACAGTAAAGGTGGGCGCGCATGGCATGGCACACTGCTAGCGGTACAGGTGGTCCGAACGAGGCTGGTGCGAGCAAGGGAATTGACTACTGGTAATCAAAGACCGGTAGGAAAGAGAGAGGATCCGAGAACTGTGAAACTTTTTATGGCGAAATATTTGAATGCATTGATAGCACGATACAAATCGACTTTGGTCACGGAATTGAAACGTTTTGGTGAGGTTTCGAAAAAATTTCGTAGTACTACAAAAACCCAGCTTAGCTATGACGACCAACCGCCTTTTGTCGCCACGACCAAAACTTTCATCCGGCCGTATTTCATTAATGTGTTTGGTTGCTGAGAACAAACGTTTGATGCGGGCGCCGAAGGGATTTTCTCAGTGTAGAAAAGGTTTCTGGTTTTCCCAGAAACTCCCTGGAAATCACCTACGACAATACCATTGGCTTCCGGAGAAAACCAGAAATCAGTTTTACCGTGTTGATGTCTCTATAACTTTCCTAAGCAACCGTATTGCGCAAAATGTATTTTTTCTTAGACCAGGAAAGCGACCGTCCTTGGGTTTGAGCTATTTTACGAATAAGAAGGAGAAAAGAAGACGCCTACCCCACCCACCCGCACCGCCCCGCTCGGAAAATAACAAACCCCCACTTGTTCGAACAAGTGAGGGTTTGTTATGTTTCCGAGCGGGGCGGTGCGGGTGGGTGGGGTAGGCGTCTTCTTTTCTTCTTCTTATTCGTAAAATAGCTCGTTAGGGACCCCCATTTCCATGTTTTGCGAGGTCTCGCGGATTGCCCCCACACCAGCCATTCATTGCGGCTTTGCAGCTTTCTGTTCCAAGTGTGGTCAAACAAGGGCTCTGCCAATTCTTGCTTCCTTTGTACGGGTCCAGCCCACACTCTCTCCCACTCACAGAGATTTTCGCTGCACTGAAAATTGAATGGTTGGGCACATTGCCAAATTATGGCGTGACAAAAAGTCACGCCAAAAAATGGCGTGGCAGGAAATTTACGCCGGAAAACAGCGTGACGTGTGCGTTACACCGTCTCTGGCGTGAATACACCTCATGGATTGGTGCGTACAATGCATTTCTAGAGAAAAGTCGCGCGAAAAACCGGCATGACAGGAAAATCACGCCAAAACTTGGCGTGACTTTCTGAGTCCCACCGATTTTTGCCATGACTTTTCTATCATGCCGTTTATTGGCGTGACACTGAATTCACGCCCCTGCACACTGGCTATAGTTCTCCATTTCGCCCCTCTCCCGCCTATTTAAATGCATGGGAGGATTTCTTCTCTACGCTTGACGTCAAGCGTAAAGTCTTCAAGCGTAGTTGTATGCTTGAATCAAGCATACAACTACGCTTCAGTTTTACCAGTGCAGCGGCACCAAGTCACGCCGATAGATTTTCAGTGTGAAAAACTCCTTTATGTCATTTTGTTTGATAAACTCCTGTGAGTAGGCAGAAAGTATAGCTGAATTGAGTGGGAACTCACTGTACTCACACTCAATTGTACATAATTTCAGTCAATGGCAGACCCCGTGGTCTCACACTATTTGGCGTGAACCGAAGTGTTTCCCGCTTATGCAAGCGTAAGACACAGTTTGTCTTGCTTGCTGCCTATATTTCCCCGTGGTTCAATGTCACGGGTCTCACTCGTGTAAATTTTGTCAGAATGTCAGAAACATGTCTGAACTCCTGATCAAAATTCGCGCCCCTCTGAAAGCTGAAATTCTGGAAACTTATGCTGATGATGGCCTGAGTTCTGCAGAATGTCAGAATATGTTTTCAGCTTTCAGAGGTGCGCGAATTTTAACAGGTTTTCAGACACGTTTCTGACATTCTGACAAGATCTACACGAGTCCTCACTCCTGCAAGTGCGAGACATCGGTGAACCATTCGGCAAGCAAGGGAAAACGTGGCTTTCACTTGTAAGCGTGAGATATTTGGGTTCCTGTTAAACAGTGTGGGGCTGGTCCCACTTGCATTTGCAGAGTGTGCGCTTAGGCCTAAGTTTTATACCAGTGCCGAGGTGCGGCTCCGCCCAGGTTTCCAGTGCGGTGCCCGACAGACCTGGGGCGAATGTTCAGCACGATCAGGTCGTGGAAAACCGCGCTAGTCGCGGGGGAGTGGCGAGAGGGGTAAGACCTGGCCGGCACGCCTTCTTCTTTCCCTCCGTCCACCAGGTGGACTTATCTTGAAACCAACATCTAATGCGGGGGGCGGTGGAATCCACGCCCGTCTGGTTCTAAATCGACAGCACTGGAAGCCAAAGAATGTGACGTCACGTTCGTTTTCACGGTGAAAACTTACCAGTCAGGAATGTTCATTCCAGGGGCTTCGCCTTCTAATTCCTTTTCATGACGCCAGCGTCACCTTACGGAAACACGATGACAAAAATTTAAGTTTACGATTCGTCTGCATGTTCTGCAGTGTCATAATAATCATTTTTTCAACAAATTTATTTGTTTATGAGGAAACGAGCATTCTGAGTTTGTCAAGTTGCACATCAAACGTTGTTCTCATTTTTACTTGTTCTGTAATCTATTATCGACGTTCGGTCATAGAACCTTGCTGAGAAGGAAACTGTAGTCGACAAAACCAAACCAAAATAAGTGAACTTGTCAAGGTTGTGCAGGTTAGGTTGACTTATAAGTCTGCCAGGCTTTTAAGAGTGCAGTCCAGGGTTCAATTGAGAATGCAGTCAAAAACTACAATTAAAGTTCATTCCTTTCGAAGTCAAAGAGTTACGACTTCACCCTGAATGCCCATGCCCTTTCACGTCGCGGCCTTGGAATGATTCAAATCTTCTGAATTTCACCGAGTGTTGGTCCGCACTGCTTCTAAATCGGCACGTCTCGGCAAATGAAGGAAAAATTCTCCGTGGAGTGGCCCACGCCGAGCGAGGAAATGCGGTAATCCCTCGTCTACCTGAGCGCGCGCACACGGCCAGTGGCCACGGTGTGAATGCCATCAGGATTTCCTGATTAAATTTCTTATTTCAAACCAGAAATCAGGTTTTTTTCTGATTGATTTTCCGATTTCTGATTGCCAATTAAGAATTATTTCTGATTTCTGATAACCAATCAGGAATCATTTCTGATTTCTGATTGCCGACATCAGAAAATTCCTTATTTCCGATGTCTGAGTGTCAATCAGAAATTTCCTGATCTCTGATTTCTGATTGGCAATCAGAACTTTTCTGACTGCTCACTAAAAAGTTTCTAGCTGATTCGCTCCTAGTGGTGCAAATTTCGCACTTTCGCAGTGTGAAAATGGACCACTCCTGGAGGTGCTAATTTTGCACTACAGAGTGCAAAGTAGTAAGTCGATAGCACTCCCCAGTGCAAAAGTGAAACCAGGGGTGAAAAACGCCAAAAGTGCTAATTTTACCCCCCATAGTGTGATTTTTACTCTTTGAAGTGCAATTCTTCATTTCAGAGTGTGTTAAAACAGCAAGTTCTCTTTGGGGAAAGGTTCAATAGACTAAAGAAGAAAGGCTTATGGTATGTCAAGTTTAATTAAATCCATAAAATTAAACAGAGTCAAAGCTACTGAGGCTTTAATTTCACAAATTCAAAACTATCCATGAGGAAATAAAAACAATAAGTTTTTATTACAGAAGAGTAACTCCACCCCAAGGTGGACCGAGATCTGGGATTGGGTCACGGATTCGGTTCAAACTTTGTGGGTTCAATAGGTACCACTAGGACCTAACAACCCCCAAAGGAAAGTTGGCTAGCTCAAACAGAACCTGAGATATTTGCATTTTTCTAAATTTGACTAATTTAGCGTAAAATTGTCGCTTTCTGATTTTTTTATGGTAAAAGTTGTTCGCTTAGTTCTGCCCTTATGTTTCTTCTTTCTAGTCGTAAAAAAAGAAGAAAAATGGTGGTAGGCCAAGTTTTGTACGTTGCTTGGTTTGGCCTACTCGAGCAATTTTGTCGAATTCATCGAAACTCTCATACCCAAAATACTCCACCTTGGATTTGGCCCTGGTGCGTCTCATTTCAGTCCTTTTACTCTAATAAACAATTGCTATGTAGTCCCTAGCACCAACAATTCCATGTAAGCCAGAAAAATCAAAAACACCATTTTTCAATTTTCTACTTTGACCTATTTTGGGCACTTTTGTTAAGATTAGGGCTTCTACATGATCTTGGGTGACAGGAAAGATCCTCCCTGCCCTCAAATTAGATAGTATCAACACAAACAAAGAGACCCAAACTCAAGTTGCACTAGAAATTGATAAGGAAATTGTTTCGAGCAAATTTTGCAAGATTACGAGGGGTGTGAGAAATTTAAATCGGAGGAAAATGTAATGCTTCAGCCAAAAGTGGATTTGTGGTTCATTAGTTAGCTTTCTCAAGTAGGTTTGGTGCCCTTTTAACCCTGAGAATGTTCCTCCTTGATAATCAGAGTTAAAACCCTGTTTTGTTATAGGGTTGTTGGACTTACGATTTCAACTCATAAACAAAGTAATGATCCATTTATTTAGGTTGCTTGCAATATGTAAGTTCAACCGCTTAGTCTCAATAACTGAGCCTGGTTCCATTTGGTTTGTAAATTTTTGAGACCAGCCAGATGACTAAGACTAAGCGGTTGAACTTACACGTTGCAAGCAACCTTAGTAAATGGATCATTACTTTGTTTATGAGTTGAAATCGTAAGTCCAACAACCCCATACCAAAACAGGGTTTTAACACTGATTATCAAGGTGGCACATTCTCAGGGTTAAAAGGGCACCAAACCTACTTGAGAAAGCTAACTAATGAACCACAAATCCACTTTTGGCTGAAGCATTACATTTTCCTCCGATTTAAATTTCTCACACCCCTCGTAATCTTGCAAAATTTGCTCGAAACAATTTCCTTATCAATTTCTAGTGCAACTTGAGTTTGGGTCTCTTTGTTTGTGTTGATACTATCTAAATTGAGGGCAGGGAGGATCTTTCCTGTCACCCAAGATCATGTAGAAGCCCTAATCTTAACAAAAGTGCCCAAAATAGGTCAAAGTAGAAAATTGAAAAATGGTGTTTTTGATTTTTCTGGCTTACATGGAATTGTTGGTGCTAGGGACTACATAGCAATTGTTTATTAGAGTAAAAGGACTGAAATGAGACGCACCAGGGCCAAATCCAAGGTGGAGTATTTTGGGTATGAGAGTTTCGATGAATTCGACAAAATTGCTCGAGTAGGCCAAACCAAGCAACGTACAAAACTTGGCCTACCACCATTTTTCTTCTTTTTTTACGACTAGAAAGAAGAAACATAAGGCAGAACTAAGCGAACAACTTTTACCCTAAAAAAATCAGAAAGCGACAATTTTACACTAAATTAGTCAAATTTAGAAAAATGCAAATATCTCAGGTTCTATTTGAGCTAGCCAACTTTCCTTTGAGGGTTGATAGGTCCTAGTGGTACCTATTGAACCCACAAAGTTTGAACCGAATCCGTGACCCAATCCCAGATCTCGGTCCACCTTGGGGTGGAGTTACTCCTGGGATATTTCGCGATGTTAGGTTCTTCAGTAACCGGTCGTTTTCGCCCGCCAAACCAACATTTTTGTGCCCTTGACGCGCGTAATTCAAACTCACGCGCCGCATGGGAACCAATGAGAGGCGAGAAACTTCGCACTTTTCCCGGGTGAAACATTTTTGCACTTACAAGTGCACTCACTCACCGACTTAGCACTTTTGGGTCCATTTTCGCACTTAGAAGTGCAAACAAGCGCTGATTGCACCGTCGAGAGTGATTTTGGCAGTTCGCACTGGCGAAGTGTGAATTTAGCACTGTCGGGAGTGAAATTTGGAAGGGAACTTTTTAGTGAGTGGTTTTCTGATTTCTGATTTCTGATTGCCGTTCATAAATCAGAAAAGAACACCAGGACATTCAGATGGCGTCAAAATACAGATGCCTCCTAATGTAGAGTTTCCGAGGTATCGGTTTCAAATATTTGGTATGTGGCATATTCAGCCGAATTGACTGGGGCCATTTTCATTTCATAGAAAGTCGAAGCAGTATTCGGATTTTACGACTAAGCTGGACCCCACTATGAAGTATGGAGAGGCAAGGAGCACTCTCATCCCAGGAACGTGACATCACGTTGAAACGAACGTGACATCACGTTGAAACGAACGTGACATCACGTTGAAACGAACGTGACAAAGTCGTCGAACGAGACAAAGTGTCAACGTGACAAAATCGACGAACGAGACAAAGAGTCACGTTCGTTTCAACGTGATGTCACGTTCCTGGAATGAGAGTTTGGACTGGTGAAACTGCATGACCTCTTTGGGTTGGCATAGGGATGCAAAAATACCGGTAAGATTCAAAGTTACGTAAAATCCGGTAAAATACGGTATTTTACCGTATTATACGGTAAAATTGGGTAACATTGATTTTTCTTGACTCTAAGGGGTAATGGTGGTACCTCTTGTGAAAATAGGGGGAAAGAAGGTACGTTTTGGTGAGGGTGTATCGGTTCCATCGTTTCATCCATACTTCCAAGCCAACATGACTCAAGAACAATGAAGCATTTTGAAAGACAAGGACCAAACACTGTGTGGGTTAAAGATATGAACTATTCTCCGACTTACTGACCCCTCCCCCTTATGTCTGAGTTTTGTGGACTTTCCCTTTTCGTAAATAAATTTAGATTTTGCCTGGTTCTTTTGACCGTAAATTAACAGCCCAAATAAACTGAAGTGCAAAAATATTGCATTTTCTCTCGTTGTCCATGTAAGTTGGCTCAATTTCATGAAAACTCTTTTTCCTGAAAGGCATCGGCGCGGCAGCCCCATGGTGTCCAATCATGTAAATGTTTATTGCATTATTCAGGTCAAATAACTAACAAGTATCTACCCCTATTTTTTCCTAGTTTCTGTTTAAAGTTAGTTTACATTATACTTATCTTGGCAACAAAGAAGTTTCTGGTTTGGATCGTGTAGTTAAATTTTAGTTTCCACAAGTTTTGCAAAAGAAGAGAACATTGACTTCTTGCTTTGTTGAACCAAGAGTTCCAAAGAGGCGCTGTTTGCAGTCCCTACGTCCTAATTCATCGTGTGGAAGCAAAAGAAGGGCAAATAAGTCAATATTTCAAAATTACCGAAAAATACCAATTTTACCGGGGTCTCCGTAAAATACCGTATTTTACCGTATTATACCGTTCTTTACCGGTAATATTACCGGCCTTTACATCCCTAGGTTGGCACCTTTGAAAAAGTTAGGCATGTAATGTATAATGTAAATTCGTGGTCGGTCGTCTAATTTCCGGTTGAGGGGGAGTATCGTTTGCAAGACACGTAGACGGGGTTTCGTGCGTTTCCCTTTTCTACTTCAGTAATTAATCGGTTCTGCTGGGCTTTAACGTATTTCAATTCGGTTTGCGCTAAAATGTTGTGAAAGTTTCTTAGTGCAACACGGGGCGCCACGAGTGCGTGACGGTCCGGGTCAGGGGTCACCGCAGAGACACATCAACGACAGTGGCACCAAGGTTCTTCTGCGGGTCAGCACTACTTGCTAATGAGTCCCCACCAGTCGTCGCACAGTCTGCCGAGCGGCACGCGTGCAGACCGCGGTAGGCCGAGGACAGCGTCGACACGGAAAACTCCTTGCGGGGCACCTTGTTCGTAATGCAGGGGAAATGATCAGCTTCGCTGGGCATTTTCCTCTGAAACTATGGCATTAAAGTAACGTTGAAATCCATCACTTCAATCCAAAGGGTTTCTGGTACATGTACCAGGTGCACCTGGTACACCCTACATGTCTTACGACACTCACAGACTCGATATTGACTTTTAGTACATGGTTGGTTACTGACGATAAAGCCCGCAAGAGGCTGAGAGTGCTGCGAGAGTGTAAGAAATTTCCCGTAGGAAATGGCGCAAGCTATACGAACGCACTTTTTCTTCGTATTACGTAGGTTTTTCTCTGTATCCTACAATCGAAGTCAGAAAAAGATTCCTGTGGAGAAATTTTGCTCCGTATTATGCTTGCGCCAATTGCTCAAATTTTACAGCAAGTCTCTTACACACTCTAGAGTGCACTTGGGAGTAGGCTACGCCGTGGAGATTGCACCCAGCAAGCTGTTGAGATTACTTCAGTTCGACCTGCGCTGGCGGTTCAGTCGCTGCCCCAATTGGCAGTCCTTTTATGAGCTTACTCGGCTTAAAACAGCTGCATGACGTGATGTCGTCTAGCTGTCGAGGGTTTCTAGCAGACACCGTTTTATCGCGAAGCACCGACATTTACACTCAACGTGCACTTGTCAAAGAAGTATTTTGATATGACTTCCGAGAATATGCGCTATCACATTAGTTTGAACACCAGTGAAACTCGAGTTAAACACTCTCCTTTTCCAAATCCTCTGAACAGCTTCTTTTAAAAGTGAACACACTCGTTCTTCTCCGTTATTTCCATCACCTGAACAAAATGAGCCCAGCTAGTACAAAGTCGAACAACTTAAAACTTTCAACAATTGTGACTCTACACATTACTTTTCTGTAGGATGGATCCACTTGTAGTAGTGACATCGCCTCCACTGCTTCCAAGTGTAGGACAATTACTCACTTTCAGGCGTTGACCAAAATGTCCTACACTACCAAGATCCTGCTGAGCCTTTTCTTCGTAATACTTAGTATTAAGACAGCGCAGCGAGTAGTAGCCTATGGTGAACCTATAGTATCACGACTAGAAGCGTACGGCAGCTTTGTTCATCTATCGGTAGCCATTGATTTATCATAATGCCCAAATTTAAATGTTAGGCACAGTGTGGTCGACTCTTGCACGGGCACTAGCACATTTTTGTCCTCGCCTGCAAGTGTGTACTTGTCCGACACTTCTTGGATTGGCAGTGTGCAATATGCTCACTTTGAGCTGTCATAGCTTGGACGTGAATACAAGGGGCCCAGCGTCGGTGCTTTTCCACGGACGCCAGACATCCCCGCCGCCTGCCTATTTTATTTTTACATGTGTGCGGTAATGAATCGAGATGTGATGTCATTTCTTCTGGTCATCAGCGGAAAGAAGATAAACTGAAGTACTACGAGAAGCTCCAACAACGGGAAAAAAACAACACATATGGCCCGGCACTGATAGCGCCACCTATCCAACACAGTGCGAAACCTTAAAAACAACCCAGCCATTTTGGGGGGTGTTGAACCCCTGCGACACCCAGGTTCGTGGTCACACGATTTTCTGCCTGTGGGGACAGTCCCCTCCGTATGTGCCTATCGAGTGTTGGGCATATTTCCGATCCCGGCTAGTAGCCACAACGTCATGTTCAAGGTATGCGTCTCGTTATGATAATTAAGTGCTCTGCCAAACGAAGTGTACTCTAGGAATTCAAGTGCTGACAAAGTATACCCCACCTAGAGCCAACCTGTCATGCACACTCCACCTGGAGTCAGCCTAGCATGTGCACTCCACGCTGGAGCATGCTCGCCAACTACACGCCAGGTGGCGTGCACCTGCATGCACATTGTTGCTCTGCTTTACAAGCAAAAGATAGGCGACTTCATCAACAGTGAAAATAATGCCAGGCTGACTCCAGCTGTACAGTACATGCCAGGTCTACATGCCAGGTCTACTCCAGGCGGAGTGTGCATGCCAGGACGACTCCAGGTGGAGTGTACATGCCAGGTTGGCTCCATGTCGAGTATACTAGTATGTCGACGAGTTTTATAGAGTAGAGAACTCGACTCTTTCTGGTGCGGAGTTTAATTCTCTACACTTGGACGTGTGGAGCTTACAGTCTGCACACGCGTGTTGTTGCATGCTGTTTAATACAGAGTTTCTCTGCTGTGCAGGCCACGATGCAGGCCCTGGCGGACAGCGGCCACGAGGTGGTGGACTTGAGCCCCTTTCCGCTGAAGCAGCCCCGCGCCAACTACACCGACGTGGACTTGTCGAAGGAGCTCCCGACCTACGTGAACAGCATGAAGTTCACCGAAATGGTGCACTCTGAGAAAAAATGACGGTAAATCCTGGATAATTTTTTTGCCAAACTTTACCGTACTTCAAAAACCAGTATCCTCCGTACAGTCTACAGTATTTACCGTACTTGTTTTACAAAATATTCCGTAGTCTTTTAACAGTAGTTACCGTTCTTCCGTACAGTTCATGCCGTAGGAAAGACCAGATCTGGTCCCATCAAAGGCCGCTTCCAAGAAGTGTCCACATCAGGATCTTGAAAAAAGGGGGTCGACCGACTGAAAAATTTTATTGCACCTTTCAATAGGTCTCGTCAAGACCTTTCCAACGAGTGGTCGGAAGAGGGGTCCAGGAGTCCGACTTCAGCAGTTGCGTACATCAGGAACTTGGAAAAAGAGGGTCAATCGACTGAACAAAATTATAGCAGTTTTTGATAGGTATTAAAAGTACGGGATTGCCGGGGGAAAATGTACGGGATTCCCTGTAAAAAAAGTACGGCGTTTCCTGTAAAAAAAGTACGGTATTGCCTGTAAAAAAACGACGGCATTGCCTGTTAAAAAAAGTACGGTGAAGTCTGGAGTAATCAGTACAGGATTTACCGTGATCTTTTCTCGCAGTGTGGACTTTGACTTGATGGGATTGTTCGACTTGCTCGATAGAAATACTGGGCCCGGCCTTTGCCGCAAGGTGTTCCAGACCAAGCAGTTCCAGGACATCATGAGTGGAGCCTACGGCAAATTCGACGTTGTCTTCACCGAGATCTGCGGCTCTGACTGCTGGGCCGTGGTCGCCCACAAACTGCAGGTACGGCATGCATTGCGAAACCAAGGGTTTAGAACTCCACACTTGGAAAGCGGAGGTGTGGAATGAGCAGTCGCCGTAGGGAAGTGCAGAGTTTGCGCCATGCCAAGAGGTAGGGACTCTGGGAGCTTCTCCACATTCGAGGCGTGAGGATTGCAAACGCCACCCGTCCAAGTGTCGAGATTTACTCGTCACCAGGGAGTGAGGAGTTCTTCGCACTTGGTTGAACAGTGAGCATAAAGTTCACCCTTCAGCGCTGCTTCTCTACAAACTGAAGTGTGTACTCAGTATGCATCTACAGATGCATACTCATAAGTACACACCTACAGATGCATACCTAGCTGAGTACACATCTACAGATGCATACTTGGCTGAGTACACATCTACAGATGCATACTTACCAGGTATGCATCTGTAGATGTGTACTCAGCCAAGTATGCATCTGAAGATGTGTACTGATACTGGGCATTATATGGTGACAGTACACACCTACTAATGCATACTTGCCAAGTATGCACCTACAGATGCATACTTAACAGGTATGCATCTGTAGATGTGTACTCAGCTAGGTATGCATCCACTGCAAATGCAAAGGCGATACTTGAGTTCATTTTTCGGCGATACTATTGAGTATCGCCAATAAACGGCCTTACGGAAAAGTATTGCCTTCTGAACGGCGATACACAGAAGTATCACCAAAATTCGGCGATACTTTTTGGTATCGCCAAAACCACGGCATTGAACTAGGAACTTGTCCCCTTGATTTGTTTAGCGTTTATTGCCAAATTGTGGCAATACTCCGACGTATCGCCAAATTTTGGCGATACGTTTGTGTATCGCCGTTTTAAAGGCAATACTTTTTCGCAAGGCCGTTTATTGGCGATACTTCATTGTATCGCCAAAAAAGGTACCAAAAGTATTGCCTTTGGATTTACAGTGTCTGTAGGTGTGTACTTATGAGTATGCATCTGTAGATGCATACTGAGTACACACTTCAGTTTGTAGAGTTCATGCCCCTTGTCTTTGCCTACCAGATTCCCCTGATCAGCATCGCCACGCAGCCCGACTTCCCCCACATGCATGCGAGGCTTGGGTCCGTGGACAACCCTTCGTACCTCATCACGGCCTACGAGCTGATGGCCGGCAAGATGAACCTGTGGCAGCGGTGCCGCAACGTCCTCACCTACTTTGGAAGCATCCTCCTTGACAAGGTCAGTGATGCTGCAAAAGGAAGCTAAAGTAAGGCTTTGGAGTATCGGCACAAGTGGATACGGTCGCTGTGGCGACGGGCACGTCCATCTACTTCATGCCCAATTTTAACGTTTTGACAACCTCACTACCGTTTTGAGGTCAAACGTGACAAAATGTAGCACAATGCCCTAATACACGTTTAATAACACCTTAACACAGCGTAATACCGAGTACTCTGTATATGATTTCTTGATGTGTATCGGGAAAAAAATTAGCTCGGAAAGGAGCTCTCGTCTCCATGAAAGGGGAAAAGAATTCAGGAGAAGGTCCGAACTGAAGTGTAGCACATTTCTAAGGGCTCGGGCCGAATGCGAATCGATTATGGTGCGCTGGCGTCGGCGTCCTTTGGGCTTTTAATCTTCGAATCTACCGGTCCCGGTCGATATTCCATTGCGAGTCCTCGGCCGAGACGCTCGCCCCTTCTCAGCGCCTCGAGACAGCCATGCAGTGCTCAAAAGGGACGTCGTCAGCTGTCACCAGCCAGATGAAGAGGAGGCGTGGCAGCAGACTGGTTCCAAAAGTCTTTTTCGTCGCTCTGTCACGCCCCTATGACGCACTCCCCATGATTGCGAGAGAGGCAGAGCGACGGCAACGACTCTCGGAATCAGTCTGCAGTGCCCACGACGGGGTGACTGGTGACGGAGGGAAGGCCCAGGCCGAACACTCCAGAACGGCCAGCCAGCTCGCCATGGCGCCTTCGCCTTCGGTCCCGCGGGCCGTGCTCGCGGTCGCCGTGGTGTTCTTGTGCAGCACCGGGGCGCTCCCCTCGCCCCGGAACGCCTTCCGGACCGACAAGAAGGCCCCCACCGTGGCCGACGAGGCGAGGTTCATCCACGGCCTGCTGCAGCCGGCCCTGCTGCGCGCCGGGCCGTTCGCGCCCCACCTGGTGGTGCTGGGGACGCCGCGGTGGCTCGACGCCTTCCTGGCCATGCAGGCCGCGGCGGCCGTGTCGCTGCTGCCCACGCCGACCGGGCCGTGGCCGTCCCCCAGCACGCGGCTGCTCCTCGCCACGCCCAGCGTCGTCCTCGTGGTCGCCGAGGACGAGGCGGCCGCCCTGGTCGCGCGCCTGGCGGCCGTGCACCGCGACGTGGCCAGCCGGACGCTCCTCTGGACGGCCTACACGACCTCCTGGAGGCTGAAGAGCCTCCGCGGCATCGCGACCGGGGACTACTTCTTCCGCGTCATGCTCGTCGTCAGCGACGCCCGGCACGGCTCCACGTTGTACTCATTGTCCTCCGACTCCGCTTGGGTCCCCGGGGCCACCCAGTTCTACCCGCCGTGCTACTACACCGGCAACGCCACGACGGGCACCATGCTGTACATCCCCGCCAAGGCCAACATGGACCACTTCCTGTACAACCAGTTCGTGATGGCCGTCATCCGGCCGATGAGCAACATCAGCTTGGTGCGGAACGAAGATGGCGTATGGAAAGACGTGGCGAAGATTTGTCGCTTCGATCTGATGACCTTGGATTACCCGCTGCGAATTCAGAGCACCACTCTGTCGGACGCGTTCCCGTGGGGGTTGGACAGTGTATTGGCCCTGGTCCCCGCCGGCATGGGCAAGGGCAGCTGCGTCGCGGACGCCGTCACCAGGGAGTTGACCGCGGCGGTGTGGGTCGCCACGGGCTTGTCGTTCGTCGGGGTGGCCGTCGGGCTGTGGCTGCTGGGCGGGCGCAACACGGCCTTCCTGGACGCCCTGGCCTCTCTCGTGGCGCAGCCTGGGTCGCCGGTTGGGCAGGGCGCGCGGCCTCTCTTGGCAGCCTGGCTGCTCTGCTGCGTCGTCCTGTCCTCGTCGTACACCGGCAAGCTGCTGTCCGAGCTCTTCGAGCAGTGCCCCTCTAGGGAAATCCAGACGCTGCACGAACTGGCAGGGTCTAACCTCACTCTGTACAGCCAACCGGGAATCCTCATTAGTACACTGTTAAAAATTCGTGGAGATTTTCTAGGCCATTGGGCAAGTAAATTCACTTGCCCCCGCAGGAAAGTGTCATTTTTGGCCCAGTGGGCACTGAAAGGGACATTCCATTGCCCAAACTGGAAATTAAATGTTCATTTGGAGTAGGAAATTTGGCAGATTGGAGTAGGAAATTTAGCATCCCAAACATGAAAATTCGTGTTTGGGCATGGAAAGCATGCGTTGCCTGCCCACAGAAGGAAATTTCGTTCCCCATTGGAACAGGGAAACAGGGCTGATTTGGCGGGCCTTGGCTGCGGCGATGCGTGCACGGCCGTTTTTGCCGTTTTCACCACTTTACCGCGTTAGTTGGTAAACCACTTTCCAGCTGAAGTAGTCGTCTTAACGACAAAACTCCAACGCGTACTTAAAGAGTAAGGTTGAAGGATCAGCAAATAAGCTCCTTGGGCCGAATTGATACTTACAAAATGAGATATTCACATTTTTGTAACTTGTTTACATTTTTTTCGGCGTTTTCAGGCCAGAATCGCCGCGCCCGAACGCGGATGAGCCATTTAAAACAAGTTACAAACATGTCCATGACTCGTCCTGTGGGTTTCAAATCTTCAAAACGGGCTTATTTTCTCGAAGAGACAACATTACTCTAGAAGTACACGTACAGGATTTGTGCATAAGATATCTACTTTAGCTAGAAAGTGGGTTTCTAGGAACCACAAAAAAACAACAAACAACGGCCGTGCACGCATCGCCGCAGCCATGGCCCGCCAAATCAGCGCCGTTTCCACCCCCTGATCGAGACACAGTAACGACCTGGACTCACTTTATTGCCCACACAATTGAAAATCTCTATTGTGGGCAAGGAAGGGCTGCTTGGCTTGCCCACAGCAGGAAATTCCGTGAGGTGAGCAGCTCAAGGAGGAGGCGGCCTCCTACTTGGTGGAGTCACTAGGACTAACGACACTTCAGCTGACAGGCGAAGGGGCAGCGTAGTGGTTAGCGAGGCCGGCCTTCAATACAGAGTCTTGGGTTCGGCTCGCGGCGGGAACTTTTTAGGCACGAAGTAGCCTTATAGTATACCCAGGACTCGGCCGGCTCGAGATTTGATTTGTGTGGCCCTTTATGCATTTCGGAAGTTTTCTATACGATTTTAATGAGATTTTGCAGACTAGTAGAACTTTGAACGCTGATTCTGATGTTGAAATCTGGTCAGAAATTTGGTGGCCAATTTTGAGAAATTTGCTGTCAAAATCGCCGTTTCCATGGCAAAACTCGACTCGTCAAAGGAAAAAAAAGGGAGTGGGGGGAGCCGAGCCGGGGCGGACCAATAGCGGAGCTTCTTTTTGGGTCTGTACAGCTTACTCCAAAAGCTGAAAAAGCAACGTTCGAAATGAAAAATTTCTTTGACTGCAGGTAGACAAGATCGATACCTCAGAGTAAGAAACGCTCGGTTGCCGCGAACCGTTGGAAAGGCGCTCAGTCGCGGAGAACCCTGTGAAATCCGCTCAGTCGTCGCGAGCTGCCTGTAAAACGCTCAGTCACCGGGATTCATCCGAAAGCCGCTCAGTCGCTAGGAGCCAGACGAAACCCGCTCAGTCGCGGAGAGCCGGCCAAAAACAGCTCAATCGCATTGTGTAGCAGACTCGCATACTGTCACCAAATAATCATGATCTACAAAATCTGGGTACATTTCTAACGACGTTACTGTTGCCATAGAAAGCTTAAGGTTGCAGCTTGACAGGAGAACGGGACAGCTAGAGTGATTCCCTGATTTGTCTCAGTGCTTCAAGCTTTGAATCCTCTCCCTTGAAATAATTGGGGAAATGCGATTGAGCTGTTTTTGGCCGGCTCTCCGCGACTGAGCGGGTTTCGTCTGGCTCCTAGCGACTGAGCGGCTTTCGGATGAATCCCGGTGACTGAGCGTTTTACAGGCAGCTCGCGACGACTGAGCGGATTTCACAGGGTTCTCCGCGACTGAGCGCCTTTCCAACGGTTCGCGGCAACCGAGCGTTTCTTACTCTGAGGTATCGAGATGCAACAATAGAATTGGTGCCGGTTCGAACGCAGTTTTTCGGGTAGAACTATCCAATAATACTTCTTGATTGGAGTGTTTTTGGACATGCGCAGTGTTGTTGTTGTGATTCAGTTAGCACTAGGACCACTTCGCTCCACCTCGCGACTTGCAGTGCTCATGTTCCTCGAACAAGACTCACCCGCGTTTCGAAACCATCCCTCCCGAGTTTATGAAGTTTGTCAAACCAACCGTCGTGGTGTTGATACGTTGTAAGGGAGAACTATTACACAGAATTGAAGAAAACATGACTAGAGAACCATAGCCTTTTGAAACAAGCCAAACAATTCAACGTTCACAACAATGGAGGGGCAGTTTTAATGCGCGACTGCTGGCGCTTTCAGCTTCGCGATTTTCGCAAGGGCGCAGACGCCAAGAAAATAGTTGCCAACCCGAGAAAATTAATTTACTGACTTCTTTCTGCTAAGAACATTTTAATCATGATGGACTTCAAAGATGTTCCATTGTCAGAACACTGCGGAATACATTAGCATTGGAATTTTTTGAATTTACCAGCATTTTGATTTCTTTTTATTGTCAAGTTTAAATTTCGACGGATGGCACATCGACCGCATTGGTACCACTTCTTCACAACCACAACTTCACAACACCACTTCTTTTCTTTCTCCACACTCTTACACAATAATCAAATTGACTTCGTGACTCCTAGGATTTCTTGAAATCGTATTTTTTTTTTCTAGCTCAATGTAAGCCTCATGAGACTTGGGGTCTTCCATTGCCCACACACTGAAATTTCAACTGTGGGCAACTGTGGTAGCTTTCGTAGCCCAAATAGGAAATTTCCTTTTTGGGCAAGGGCGGTTGCGTTCGTTGCCCACAGGAGCCTGAAAATTGCTATTCCATAGAATCGCGAATTTCAGTGCCCAAAGCAATAGGAAATTTGCAGTCCGGGGACATTAGATAGGGCGTTTCATTGCCCACAGCACGAAATTTCCATTTATATTTTTTTACAG